TCCAGAAAAAGTATCTCAAACAAACCATTTTAAAAATGGGCAATAAAAAAAGGGGCAACAGATCTGAACAAATATGTCATCAAAGAAGACAAGAAGATGGTAATAAACATATGAGAAGATGTTCAATATCATATGTCATTAGGAAACTGTAAATTAAAGCCACAATGAGATACCACCAAACACCTATTAGAAAGGCTGAATGCAAAAAATCCCTGGGGGCACCTGGGTGGCTCAGTTGGTTAAGTGTCCGACGTTGGCTCAGGTCATGATCTCATGGTTAGTGGGCATGAGCCCCACATCAGGCTCTGTGCTGACAGCTTAGTCTGGAGCCTGCTTCCAATTCAGTGTGTTTCTCTCTGCCCCACCCCCGCTCGTGCTTCCTCTCTTTCTCTCAAAAAATAAACATTAAAAAAAAAAAAAGAAAATTAAAAAAAAAAAAAAAAAGCCCTGATCATGTCAAATGCTGACAATAGTGTTGAACAACATTCCTGGTTGGAATGCAAAATAGTACAACCACTTTGGAAGACAATTTGGCAGTTTCTTAAAAAGCTAAACATAGTCCTACCATATGATCCAGCAATCGTGCTCCTAGGTATTTACCGAACAAGTGTTGGAAACATGTCTACACAAAAACCGGCAAAAAATATTTAACAGCAATTGTGAATAATAACCCCAAACTGGAAGCAACAAAGAGGTCCTTTAATAGGTGAATGGATAAACAAGCTATGGTACATCCAGATGATGGGTATGATTCATCAATATAAAGAAATGAGCTATCCAGCCACAAAAAGACATGGAGGAACTTTATTATTATTTTTTTTCAATATATGAAATTTATTGTCAAATTGGTTTCCATACAACACCCAGTGCTCATCCCAACAGGTGCCCTCCTCAATGCCCATCACCCACCTTCCCCTCCCTCCCACCCCCAATCAACCCTCAGTTTGTTCTCAGTTTTTAACAGTCTCTTATGCTTTGGCTCTCTCCCACTCTAACCTCTTTTTTTTTTTTTTCCCTTCCCCTCCCCCATGGGTTTCTGTTAAGTTTCTCAGGATCCACATAAGAGTGAAAACATATGGTATCTGTCTTTCTCTGTATGGCTTATTTCACTTAGCATCACACTCTCCAGTTCCATCCACGTTGCTACAAAGGGCCATATTTCGTTCTTTCTCATTGCCACGCAGTACTCCATTGTGTATATAAACCACAATTTCTTTATCCATTCATCAGTTGATGGACATTTAGGCTCTTTCCATAATTTGGCTATTGTTGAGAGTGCTGCTATAAACATTGGGGTACAAGTGCCCCTGTGCATCAGTACTCCTGTATCCCTTGGGTAAATTCCTAGCAGTGCTATTGCTGGGTCATAGGGTACATGGAGGAACTTTAAATACATATTGCTAAATGAAAGAAGCCAGTCTGAAAGGCTACATACTGTATGATTCCAACCATTTGACATTCTGGAAAGGGAAAAACTATAGACAGGGTAAAAAGATCAATAGTTGTCAGTGATTGGGAGAGGAAGAGAGGAAAGAATGGGTGGAACATGGGGCCTGAGGGTTGGTTGTACAACTGTTCTGCATGATACTATAATGGTGGATACATGGCACTAAAGCATCTGTCAAAATTCATAAACCATGTAACACAAAGACTGAAACCTAATGTAAACTATGGACTTTAGCTGGTCCGTAAATTTTAATAAATGAATCACACTACTATAGGATGTTAAAAATAGAGTAAACTGTGGGGGCAGGGGATGGGATATATGGGAAACTGGTTTTCCTTGCTCAGCTTTTCTATAAACCTAAAACTGCTCTAAAATATGAAGTCAATTAAGTATTAAAAAGTTTAAATGAGATAATATTTGAGAAATATACATAGCACAGAAAGTCAACTGTAGTTTATCTACTTTTATTATTAATTCATTGCAATTATTTATGTCAGGATCAATTACTTTTTATGTAAGTTGATTTGGGATTCATATCATAATTTACTGATTATAGATTCTGCTATTGTAAATTTTAGGGATTATTATTTAAAAAAATTTTTTTAATGTTTATTTATTTTTGAGAGAGAGAGACAGAGAGACAGAGTGTGAGCAGGGGAGGGGAAGAGAAAGAGGAAAACACAAAATCCAAAGCAGGCTCCAGGTTCCACACTGTCAGCACAGAGCTCTACGTGGGGCTCGAACACAGGAACCTTGAGATCATGACCTGAGCCAAAGTCAGACGCTTAACTTACTGAGCCACCCAGTCATCCCTAGGGATTATTATTTTTAATAATAATTAAAATTATGCATATCAAAATGTTTTCCAAATGTAGTTTTTCTTCCATTAATCTTTAGTCCATGATAAACTTTGCCACGAGAAGTTTTAACTACTATTAGTTTTATTTTCTGCGTATTATTTTTCCTAGTATTCACCATGAGGGTCAAACATGGTGGGGTCAACAGATTCTATTCTTTGACTTACAGACATATGATTTTGGCTCAGCTTTTTAGGAACATGTTGCTTGCCTACAAGACTTCACAACCCCACCTCTCTCCACCTCATTTATGAAATAGAAGAGGGTTTTCTGAGGTCTTCTTATAAGGGACAAGCAGTTAAATATCAACACAATCCCACTCACACACTGGTTTAGAACAGACTTTTTGTTCTCTCTGTGAATGAGTGAACACCAAGGAAAGAGAGGCTGTGGATGCCCCACGCACCTGGAAATAACCCCCTCTCCTCTTCATCTTGAAGTTCTGTGTAGGAAAGAGCACTGGTAGTTTCCACATTTTCATTCCCACTTTGCTTAAAAACCAGTTTTGATTTGGGCAGCAATTCAACAAATGAAAAGACTAAAGTTCTTAACCTCTCTGACAGCTAAGAGTGACCAAAGTTTAGGTCAATGACATGTGAACAGAGTATGATGGGGGACTTTGGGGAGGCTGGTCAGATGGGAGGGCCTCTTTTCCCTCCTTCTTTTCTCCTGCCTGCAGTCTCAAGTGTAGACCTGGACCATGGACAGCCTTGATGATAGAAACCACAGGCTAAGATGCTGGGGAAGGACAGATGACCCGTGGTCTTCCATGATGAGCAGTCCAGGACCAATAAGGACGGCCTGCCTCTAGAGCTTTTTTGGGTTTGGGGGGTTTGCTTTTGTCTTTGGTTTGTTTTATTAGCAAATGTCCTCCACCATAGGGGTTGTAGGAAAGTTTTGTGAATACAGAAAAGGGCAGGTTAAGAGGACGGCCCCTCTCCTGGAACATAAGTGATTTTCTCTGGTTATTGTCAGTAAGTCACAAATAAGTCAGTGCTATCGTCCAGTTGCCTGGGGTGGGGGTCACTGGAGTTGTCCCACAACAGAAAAAAGAGCTCTTTTATGTGAAAGAGATAGAAATCTCTTTGTTTGTGCCACATTATTTTTCTACTGGATTTTCTACTATACATAGGCAAATATAGGAGCTTTGCCATTGTATCACTATGTGACCTTGTACAAGATAGGCCCTTTCTCTGGGACACAACCCTTTGTGCATAGTGGCAGAGACAGGTATGCAGGCAGCTTGTATGATTCTGAGACTTGGTGCTTCTGCCTGGCTGACATTCATGCACTCTTCTGTTGGGAACAGGACATTAGTGTTTCTTTAGGGAACTGCCCCTTCCCCACCCTTCATCCTAGTGGCTGAGACTGACAGCCCTTGCTGGGTCCAGTGGTGAACATATGACCCAGGCCTCAGCAGCTGTGGGGTGCACAGAGCTGGCTGAAGGAGACCAACCTCATGTGTGGAGCTACTAGTACAATGTACACGCGTACACATCAGCTTGCGGGCTCATGTATGCACTCTTCTTGGGTCTTGGACCCCTTGTGTGTGCCTGGCCATGGACACAAAGCCTGGCTACCATACACTGTGTTCCTTTCTGTACCCATATCACTCCATCTCAACACTCCAACCTGTTTTGAAGGAGCTGGACCTCACTGAGCATCCACTTATGTGGTTCTGTATCAGGCTTTTATTGCACAATTAGGAAACTGAGGCCAAGAGTGAGTCAAGGACCAGTCTGGGGCCCAGGAGGTGGGCAGAGTCCAGAGGATAAGGAAGGGCTTTGGCCTTGTAGGCCAGGGCTCAACACATCCTGAAAGAGTTTACTTGGTGATGAGAAACTCTAGGATGCCAGGGGGCCCCTGCCCACCTCCTCTTTATTGTGGAGGTCATTTTCCTCTCCACATACTCACATGTGCTCAGGCACATTCACTCACACTGACTTCTCGGGTGGGGAACATGGAGGCATGGTCAAGAAAGAGCAGACATGGGAGAACTTACAAGAGGGAGAATGGAAAGAGGTTGGAGGCAGCTCTATCATGGGGCAGTGGCATCCATTTCCCTAACTACCTGCTCGATAGGGAAGTCCCTAAGGTTCCAAGGGTAGCTTTGGGAGAAGGACTGGGGTCTTGCAGTCCACTTCTGTGAGCACCTGGAACTACAATGAGCCCACAGTCCCTAGTGTGGACAGTGGCTACAGGAAAACAGGTCAGGAGGTAGGTCAACGACAGGCCAGGGGACAGGCAATGCAGGGTGGGGGACAGGTGAGGAGGACAGATGTGTCTGGTGTGTGTGGAGGAGGGTTAGAAGGGGCCCAGAGCAAGGCCAAGGCTTCTTCCAGGCTCCCCTTCCCCATGACCTCATTCATGCTTCTTGGGATCATCTCCAAAACAATGGCTTGCCCCCAAGTCTTTGTCCACTTTTGGGGAACCAAAAAGTATGCTGAGGCGCTATACTGGCTGTATACCTTTGAGGAGGTTGTCTTGACCTTCTGAACTTGAGTTTCCACATCTGTAAATGGGAGCAAAAGCCTACCTCATCAAGTCATTAAAACAGGTAAAGCATAGGAAAATCCAAACTGATGCAAAGTCAAAATGCAAACCAGGTAAAAGGAACAGGAGTTGATGAAATCAAGGAAGGAATGTAAGCAGTCCATCCAAGTGCCACAAAAAGCTACTAACAAATGAGATCTGGCGTGGTTAGGCCATTTAATCAAGGAAGAGAAAATCAGCAAGGAAGATGCAAGATGGAGGCTTCCAGAGGGAAGGATCTGAGTCTCACAAGATTTAAGGGGCCCCTAGGAAAATTAAGGAGTCCTGGAAGATTTTCCTCAAAATGCTATAATTTGGTCAGGCAAGTTGCCAGGCAGATACCCAATCAAGACTGGATGAATTCTTTGTGGGTTGCATGGTTGCAATTATCTTACACTTTGTTAAATGTAAATATACCCATGCCCAGATAATTTTATTATTTCATTTTCCAAGATGAAGTGCCAAGCATGCCTATTGGAATTATGTCCTCTGAATTACTGGTCTCTATTTTAAGTGGCCCAATCCTGTGACCCACCAACCCTGATAACCACATGGAACCCCCTTTAACCTCTGTCCTCCTTACCCATCCACGTGGGCAGGGACCACACCATGTCCTGGTCACTGATGAAGCTACTGTGCTGGGTATAGAGCAGGGATGGATGAACGGATGGATGGATGGATGGGCGGACAGATGGATAGAGAAGGAGTCCATAAAAAATGAACCTTTATGTGGGGTGGGTTGAGGGTGTCACAAGTACAGGCCCTGGATGGTATCCACGGAGCGCTTCCAGCTGTCCTTCCAGCGCTGAGCCTCCTTCACCTGCAATGTGTTGTCGTCCTGGATCTTCTTCAACTCCTCTTCGAATAATGCTAAATATTTCTGGGAGCAAACCAGCAGGAGGAGGCCAGATGAGGAGGGACTTCTGGACTCTGGGACCTACAGGAATGCAATACCCCACTGGCGGGTGGTTTTTAACCTACTCCAGACACTGACAAGGGTTCCAGAAATCACTTCTCATGTAATCTGCCCAGCAACCCATTCGGCAGGTCCAGTCGTTTTATAGATGGGGAAACTGAGGCTCAGAATCTTGCCTGGGGTCACCCAACTAGAAAGAGGCTGAGCAGGGACAAGGACCCATCCCCATGATTCCGGACTCTGCACCATTCCTAACTGCCATCCCGCACTATGGCTTCCTTGGAGCTCAGGGGACTTGGTTTCCATGTAAGGCTGATCCCTCCACACCTTGAGCCCTTACTGAACTCGACAGAGGTGTCCCCTCTGCCCAAGCTTGGCATAGTGGCCAGGGAAGGGCGTGGGCTCTCCCCCAGTGGGGTCAGCCTATCTTGTACCCTGGGCAGGACAAGATTTCTCTCTCGGCACCAGGACCAACACTGCCACAGGCAGCATCTGGATGCAGCCTCCTCTTTAGACAGGCCCCAGGGGTGACTAATAGGCACTGGGCTCAAATCCTGCCTTTGTTACTTCATAGCAGCACGAGGGGGACACATTTCTTTAAGCTTCAATGTCCTCATCAGTACTAGGTGGACAATTCTTTCCATCATGGGGCCATTATGAGGAGTCAGTGAGATGCCTCATGTTGAGAGAACCATGGCAGGTGCTCAGTAACTGCCAGCTGCTCTACCCACTGCCTCCCACTGCCCCCATGGCCTCTGTGCCTCTTACTACTCTGTCCCCTCACTCTGACTCAACTGTTCTTCCAGAGGTCTTCCTTCACCCCTCAGTCTGGGTGGGGTGTCCCTCAGCTGGGCTCCCCCTGGCACTGGGGCTCATGCCATCAGACCCACACTATCACTGGGATTGGACATGACCCACAAACATGAGTCTGTGAACATTAACTGTCTTGAGTGTTGACACTGTGCTCTGGGGCCCCCTGGCAGGGGTCACCTTCCCCATGGGCCAAACATGAGGGCACCTTGGGACGGGAAGCTCCCTTCTTCCCAAGGCAGCCAAACTGAGCTGCCCTGTGCTCCCTAGGACATGCCCATCTGCACCCTGTCTCTCGACTCACCAGGTAGACAGCATCTCGGGCTTCCACAGCCGCCAGGTGGCCCAGGGTCGTTTTGGTGGTGATGATGGATGATGTTTTCCGGAGGAGAATCTTGTTTTGGATGGTGACTTCAGTGGGTTTGATTCCTGGCCACTTCCTACAAATAAACATGCATGTAAAAGTCTGACATGCTTGTCATCATCCTTCACAGTGCACCCTCCAATCCCAGTGGAAACGTTTGGCATATCTTTGCCTTTTTTTATTTTTTAAAAGATCATGTTTTAAATGTCTTCCTTAAAAGAAAAACCTTACTGAGCATTTAACATTAAGTTTCTTCAAGTTCTTTTTCCTACTTTCACACTGAATCTTGGGTTCTGCACGGGAGAGAGGAATGCTCCACTTCTAGTTGTCTCCCTTTTGCAGGCCTCAGTTTCCTCAGCAGTGGGCCAGCCAGGTGGCAGTCACCGATTCCTGGCCCATTTTTCCTACTGTGTTGGGCAAATCACCGCCTTACTTCCTCTTCCAGAGTCACATTCTTGGGGCACAGAGAACAAGGACTTTGACAGCTCTTATCACACATGCAGCGCTCCACAGTGCGACCAGTGACTCAAGAATGTGCCCCAGACTGGGATGGGCCTCCCTTTCTTTGGGGGCCCCTTTGTGGGTCCGTATCAAAGGAACTAATAGCTGGTGAGCTCTTAACTGTGTGCCAGGGGCACTCTAAGTACAATCTCATTAAACTTTCTCTTTGTAATACCACAGAAGGTGGGCTTCCATGCCCATTTCACAGGCAAGGAAACTGAGGCTTAGCACATAATGCCTTTCCAAGGCTTCCAGTTGCCCCTGACTATGGCGCTGCCTCGTGCTCCAGCAAACTCAGCCATTGGTGGTATTCTTTAATGCTCTTGGCTCTTACCTGCTCCCCCGCTCAATCAGGGGCTTCTCACTTTCTTCCTTCAGGGAAAGCCTAGCGAGTTTCCTCCGTATGAGGATTGATGTTTTCTGTTTGGTAGGCTCCATCCCTGGCAGGCAAAAGACAGGTTATGACCATAGCCTCACACACGGGCTGAGATCAAGGGGATTTCCCCGACCCTACGTTTAGAGGGATGAGGGCTTGCTCCCTTCCTCCCGACTTGGAGTGTCCAGTGGGAGGCAGAGCCCAGTCCCACAGAGAAGCTGAAAGCACCATATCTGAAGGCCCGGGGGGGTGGGGGGGCTGGTGATGGGAGGTGTGATTTAGGCGGTCTTCCCAGCTCCAAAGCCCAGAGCCCGACGCTCTGACCTTCACACAGCTTCCACAAGCCTCCAAATAAGCTTTATAGACCCCTCTTTGGCTTATACTAGCTCAAATGGGTTCTGAACTATCCCTGGGGCAAACACATTCAATGTTGTCCCTCTGATATCTGGCTCACTGACCTGTCCTTTCAAGTGCCTTCCTGACGGGGCTGCAGCAGCCGAGTGACAGTCAGCAGGCAGGAGCTGCCCTGATCTGCCAGGGAGGACAGGGCCAGGCTGCTTGGCCCAGAAGCCGGAGTTACAGCAGGAGAGGCCTCCCTGTGACTGGTACGGGGCTCTTCCAGCTCCATGGTTCCTTCCAAGTTACCAAGAGTGGCTTCCCTGCTGCCTGCTCTGCCCAGCCTCCTTCAGGCCTCATCTCTAGTGCCTCTGCAGGCCCTGCTTTCCCAAACAAGGCCTGCACTGGACACAGAGACTTCCAATATGGGAAAATGACCACTACCTCAAAATGCATATACATTGGGACCCAAAAAGTCCACTTCCAGGAACCTAGAATAGAGATATAAGGATGAAGATGTTCCCTTCAGCACAATTATAGGAGTGAAAAATTGGAAATGGCCCCACGTTCAACAGCAGGGGACTAATGAATAAAGTGCAATGCACAGCAAGTGAAAATGCTCAAGAAGATGATTGACTGGCTTGGCCAATGTCCACCCAAGGGCGAATTAGGTCATGGAAGAACACTCACCCTGTAACACACACACACACACACACACACACACACACACACACTCAGGTCTGTGCCCAAAAGGAAAGGACTGGAAAGATAGGACAGCAAACATTAAGGGCACTTAGTTCTGAGTAGAAGGACTGTGTTCTTCCCTTTCTTTGTAATTAAGATTGAGTTTTTAATTAAAAATATTTTTTTAAATGTTTTTATTTATTTTGAGAGAGAGAGAGAGAGAGTGATCAAGCAAGGGAGGGGCCGAGAGAGAGGGAGACACAGAATCCGAAGCAGTCTCCAGGCTCAGAGCTGCCAGCACAGAGCGTGATGCAGGGCTTGAACCCACGAATTGTGAGACCATGACTTGAGCCAAAGTCAGACGCTTAACCAACTGAGCCACCTAGGCACCCCAAGTTTTTAATTTTTACAATGAATTGTCTTTGTAATAAAAACTTTTGAGAGTGCACGTGTGAGCAAGTCGGGTAGAGGGAAAGGGAGAGACAGTTAAGCTGGCTCCATGCTCAGAATGGAGCCTGATATGGGACTTGATTGATCAAACCATGAGATTACGACCTGAGCCAAAATTGAGTCAGACACTCAATCAGCTGAGCCATCCAGGGATCCCAAAAGCTCTTAACAATAAAAGTAAAATATTTTAATTACTCACTAGGTAAGTAAATGGATAACATTTACTATATGATTTAAACCTTGGGGTGCCTGGAAGGCTCAATCGGTTAAGCGTCAGACTTCAGCTCAGGTCATGATCTCGCAGTTCATAAGTTCGAGTCTGGCATCAGGCTCTGTGCTGACAGCTCACAGTCTCAGCCTGCTTCAGATTCTGTGTCGCTCTCCTTCTCTGACTCCTCCCCTGCTCATGCTCTGTCTCTGTCTCTCTTTCTCTTTCAAAAATAAACAAAATAAAAAAATATTAATCTTTATATAGTTATAAAAGCAAAACACACGTTAGAAAAAGTTTAAACATCACCTAACGGGGGAAAAGAAAAAAATTTAGGAGTCTGTCACCATTCCACCCACCAGGGGTGATCATTGTCAACAGTGTGGGACCTGTCCCTCAGGCTCTGTCTTTCTCATTCTGTGTCTGTCCCTCACACAGATTCACATACATATATGTGAATATATGTTTATCTCACATATGCACTTTTTTAAAAAAATGGTATCATAGATAAGTACTAATTGTGAACTTGCTTTTTCCCATAACAGTAGTCCTTCCTGACTCTGCACACTGGCACGCATAGACACACTGACCCCCTTTAACGGCTGCCCAGTATGCACTTGTACATCGGGACCATAATTTACTGATCCAATCACCTACACGTGGATGTTAGTGTTGTTTCCAGTTCTTTGCAACATCAAATGGTGCTGTGATGAATATGCTTGGAAAGATATCTTTGGAAAAATTGTGTAAGTATTTCTGTCAGATATATTCCTAGTGTTAGAACTGCCGGGTGAAAGGTATACATCGTCTGAATTTTGACAGGTGCTGACAGAGGGCTCTCCAAGACAGGGATATTGATGTACACCTCTCCAGGGGTCTCTGTGGTACCTGGGCTTTCTGACATTCTCACCAGGGCTGGGTGTCACTCAATTTGCAAACCTTGCCAGGCTGTTGGTGAAAAATGATATCTTAATAGTGTTTACATTCTCATTATTCATCCTCAGTGAGGTCAAGCATCTTTTATACTCACTGGACATATGAACTGCTTCTCTTTTGCATTGCATGTGTTTGCCCTTTACCTCTTTTTAGAAATGTAACCTCTACCATGGGGGAGGTTAGGTCTTTTTCTGGCCTATATATAGCCTGTTAGGAACATTTGTCCAGTTGTGGTTTTTCTTTCAAGTTTTTGACATTTTTCTTCGTTTTTATTTTGGCCATGGAGGAGTGCCAGCCATCGCCTTCACAGCTTCTGGCTCTCATCTCCTACTTAGGGAAGCTGTCCCTACTCCAAGATTATGAAAATATTTACTATTAGGGTTATTTTTTTACATATAATTTTTGACCCATTTGGGATTTACTTTTTTCATTAAAAAAAACAACAACACCTTACTGTTAACGAAAACCAAAAACCATCAGTCCTCTCGTTAGAGAATCTGTTTTCATTCCAGTGAGCTGGGGAAAAGCAGATGTCCTGGGCCCATCTGCCTCCACCTCACCCCCACCCCTGGGGCTCAGGCACAAGGTCCACGGCACCACTTACTTGCAACCCGGACATCGTCGATGGTGACCACTTCATCTAACTGCAGCAGGAACTTCTCGGTGAAGGTGGCCAGGCTGGCTATGAAAAACCGGCCGTACTTCCTGGTGAATTCCTGCAGGGAACATGGGGAGTCTGCGGCTGCAAGGAGAGGGGTCTGCCCCCAAGGCCAGCTGAGGGAGGACTTGGGGAGCTGGCAGGTGAGACGAGACCAAAGCCATGAGTCAACTATGTCTGAGTTAAGTGGCATCTGGTCCTCAGCCAAGAGGCCTCTCCCAAGAGCTGACTGGGCTCAAAGATAGGAAATGGTTTAGAACTGGTCAAGCTGGGCGCCTGCGTGGCTCAGTCAGTTAAACATCTGACTTTGGCTCTGGTCATGATCTCACAGTTTGTGAGTTCAAGCCCCGCATCGGGCTCTGGGCTGACAGCACAGAGGCTAGAGCCTGCTTCGGATTCTGTGTCTCCCTCTTTCTCTGCCCCTCCCCCACTTGCTTACACTCTCTCTCTCTCTCTCTCTCAAAAATAAAGAAACATTAAAAAAAAAAAGAGGTGGCCAAGGAACACCCAGAGGTTATTCACTAAACACAAAATACATAGATGTGGGTCTTGAAAAAAGTTCTCATTAGTAATTTTGTAATTAACTCATTTAGAAATCAAAAGATGCAAGTTAAGCCAGCCAGTAATGACCAGCCAGCTCTATGAAACCTGCTGGCTTTCATGACCCCTTTGGCCAGGGTACCATCTAGGGGCCATGCTCAGTGCTGTTGCTGGACTGTCAGTTGGGGGAGTCCCTCTGGGGGCAGTACAGCCCTCAGCACCCAGGCCCGGCAGCCAATGGCACTACTGACCTCAAGCTTCTCCCTGGTTGCCATAATCACAGTGTCTAAATCGTTCTGCCTTTTCTCTTCTGCCTGACACAGAGACTCCATTTCTTGGATATGTGCGGGATGTCCGAGATTTTGATGGAGCTTCTGGGCATTTTCATCCTTTAATCAAACAATCCAGAAATCAGTGGGGATTTTGACCTGGTCTCTAGGTCAGGGCCAGAATGTCACGGGCCCATGCCCTCTGCTAAATGGCCATAGTCAGACTTGTGTGCTCTGACCCGGGTGTGGGAAAGGCCATGGATGGACAGAGGAAGGCAGAGAAGGCAAGATGGGGGCATGACTGGAGCTGACTCTGAGGGCTGGGGAGTGGGAGAGCTGAGCAGCAGCCCCAGTATAACCAGAGCCTTAAGTCCAATAAAATCAATGGCATCCATGTCTGTGCTCCAAGAACCAGGTAGACCTTTGCTGCTCATGTCAATGACCACACTCCCACAGAATCAGCAGACCCACTTGTTAAATCCAAAAAAGGAGTTTATTGAACACCTTCTATGAAGAAGAAGGCATTTCTCCAATGCCCTGTGTCCCTTAGTCCCCATGCAACAATGCCAGCCTGGCCAGTTCTGCCTATGCCTTGCCCCCATTTCTGAGCTCCCAGGGGCCCTTGGTCCCAGAGAAGGAGGACTAGTCCTGGGGCTCCCACCTTCCTTATCTCCAGCTTTTCCTGATAATCCCAGAACTGTCCCCGGATCTCTTTGGCAGATGCACAGAATCTTTTCCAGTGGTGTTCTTTGAAGTTCTCCATCACCAGCCAGCAGACCTGGGGCAGCAGCTCCTCAAATCTCCTCATCTGGGCCCGTAATTCTACAGGAGTTGGGAGGTGGGGGACCAGGCGAGGGAACAGAGCAGAGCCAAGCTGCTGAAGTGATCTCTCCCACAAAGCCCCAAAGCAATTTCCCAAAGAGAAGGACTTGGTCTACAATGTGGTCATAGCTATCTCATTAGGAGGGATCCTGTGGTCAGAGCAGTACAGAAAATACTAGATTAAGCAAATTCAAAGGACTTCTCTTCAATACTCTACAGGACTTCCCAGCTTATGAAAAGTGCATGGAGCCTTGAGGAGTCTGTTTTATCCATTATCTCCTCAAAGACTGCCTCGACCCTGGTCCCCTTCTGTCCCTGGGGACCCCTAAGTAGCTCTACGTTACACCTACCTTCTCATCCATATCCCTTTACCTCTCCCAGACTATCATCTCTTTGTTTCTCTGCATTGTGTTTTGGAAATTTTCTCTGATAGTAGAAGCCATTCACAATTTCAAAATTTCAACTATTTATTTTTCCAATATAGAAGTTCTATGTGGTTCTCTTTCCTATCTATTTGGTCATTTTCATAGTCTCTCACTCCTTCCTCATGTTTCCAGTATCCTTTTTAATTTAACTGTAATAAATACATTATTTTATATTCTGTGTCTAATAGGTTCAGTATCTGAAGTTTTACTGTCTCCTTCTGCTGCCTCATGCTTTAGGGGCCTTTTCCGTGTGTGTGTGTGTGTGTGTGTGTGTGTGTGTGTGTTGTTTGTTTGTTTACTGTGAGCTCTTCTGGGAAATTTGACTTGTGAGACTCCTTAGAGGCATGAATTGAAGGTGGGTTTCTTTTCTAGAAAGGATTTATGGTGTCTACCAGATAAGCATCTGGGCACCACTAATTCAAGACCATTTTAAGCTAAATTGTCGGTTGGAGGGCTTTTGGATGATCTACAAAAACAAAGTTAACTTCAGGCACCAAGGTCATTTTATAGTTACAGATTCTTATTAGAGTTTCCCTTCTGCTTTACCCAGTACCAAGGTTTTTTAATAAGACAGTTTCCTTCTAGTTGCTACTGCTGGTGGTGCTGAAGGACAGGGGAGGGGGACTTGGTTTCTGTCTCATTCACCCCACTTTGCAGCTAGAGCCCTGAGGGGGTGGTCCCAGTTTTCTGTGGCTTGTGTCCTTCCAAACTTTGCACCATGGGTGGTCTGGGGCTTTGTCTTCTGCTCCCAAAGCCCTGGAGGCCATGAAAACAAAGGCTCAAGCTCACCTGGGAGTCAGCAATATCCTTACGGCAATGTGTTACTGTTCAATTTCTTTCTTGGAGTTCCTATTTTCACCCAATGTGGGACCCTTGTGTATTTCTTACTTTATGGGTAGCTCATCAATTAAAAGAGCTTGTCCCAAAAATGGTATATCTAATACTTGTAAATGTTTTCAGTGGGAAAAGTGGTCAGCATACTGGACTTCCAAATTTCAGGAAATGGAAGTCTCCATTTAATGGGAACTGTGACTCTTCCAGAGAGGGACATAATCTTCGGCATTTCCCAAACCCATACGTTTGACCACAGAACCTTTCTTTTGAGGAAGGTCACATAGGATAGGATCCCAGACTTCACATGGGGACATTCTGAGCTAGAGAAACAAAATGCTCCAGTAGTTTCAATGCCAGTCATTCTATAGCCACAGTAGTGAGAGCCACCACTGGTTATTTCCTCTGTATATGGCAAGTCTGTGTAGTGGGCTTAATCCTCAAAAAATTTGCACAGTGAGTGTTGTCTTTATCTCCAGTTTACAGACAAGGAAACTAAGGCCCACAGAGGTGAGGTGACTTGGTCAAGGTCATAAGGCAGAGAGAAGGCAGTGCTGGGCCTTGAAACTAGGTCTAGCTCTCCTCCAATCATCTCCCTCTTCTACCCAACACAGCAGGAATAATTAGGACTGACAACCGCATAAAACATGCGTGGCTATGGACAAAGATGCAGAGGAACGTGGAGAAATGGGCAAAGGTGGGCGTTGGGTGTGTTTTCACAGCTTCTTTAATGTCATTACAATAAATGTAAATGGCAAGATGTATTCTACCTGCCTGTTTTCACGTCCCTATTCTCCAGGAGGCTGTGTCTATCGGGGTCATCAGAGCCCAGCATGGGCCAGGCATACAGTTGATACTTAACAAATACCCGTGGAAAGTTTTCTTCAAACGTTCAAATACAGAGTTACCACATGACCCAGCAATTCCACTCCTAGCTATACATCCAAGAGAAAGGAAAACGTATGTCCACACAAAACGTGTATGTGAATGTTTATAACAGCAGTATTCACAGTAGCCAAAGGTGGAAACAGACAAATGTCTACTGATGCAGGGTAAACAAAACGTGGCATATGTACACAATGGAATAAGAGTGAGTCATGAAAAGGAATGAAATACTGACACATGCTACAACACGGATGAACCTTGAAAATGTTATGCAGAATGAAAGAAACCAGTCACAAAGGAGCACACAGTGATTCCGTGCATATGCAAGCTCAGAATAGGAAATCTACAGAGGCAGAAAGTAGTTGAGTGGTTGCTTAGGGCTGGGACAGTGATGGGGGGACAGGGAAGTAGTGATCGTTGCCCAACTCTGAGAATATACTAAAATCCACTGAATTGGAGATTTTACACGGGCAAATTGTGTGGTATGTGACTATCTCAATAAAGCTGTCAAAATTACCTGTGCAATGAACAAAACATTTTTAGTGATACAAATCACCAGATTTCTCAAGAAAAGTCATTTTTTTTTTCAGTGTTGTTGTGCCTCCCAGTTAAATCTGATCAATGTTTTTACCTAATTCCAAGATGGCAGCTTTTCACAGGGAGGCTCCTGTGCCTCGCTCAGTGACCTCCTGGTCAGGAGGGCACCCTCCAGGCTGTGAAGCCCAGGCTCTGCTCAATTGGTGGCATGTGCCACACCCTCGACCTACCTGCCCGCCTGCCGCCCAGACTCACCTATGAGGCAGGAGTTATGGTACTCATCTGTCTGGACATGGTATTCCAGGATCCTCTTGCAGATATTCTCTGCACACTGGTCAAAGTTTTCGTACATGCAGTCAGGCCTGGTGACTGAGTGCTTCTCTTTGTGGTAAAACTCCTGCAAAAGAGGTCGATGCTGTCTGGGCAAGGATGCTCACCATGGGGCTCTGGCCCATGCTCCTGCATCCTCCACCCCACTCTCCACACCTCCTAGCCCATTCTCCTGATGTCACTCTTTCTACCCAACTGCCCTTTTTACCACTGCCAATATCCCAGTACTCAAGGCATAAGTGACTGAATGGCAAAACTCTTTTTTTGTCCTTCAAGACCCAAATGGAATCTCATTCCAACGACCAGGTTGAGAGAATTCTATGAAGTGCCAAACTAGGTACTAGGCCAAAGGCCACAAATATGGATGACTCACAGACCCTATTCTGAAGGATTTGCAGCCTAGCTGGAGGCCGACAGGAACGCACACAGACACCCCTGTGTGGGGTGTGCTGGAACTGTGCACTCGGTAGCTCCAGCAGCCCCATCCATCTCCCTGTGGTGCCGCCATGTCTGTTGCCCTACGCGGGGTGCTGGCCTCCCAGGGACAGAGACTGGGCTTGTTCCTCTTAGCCCACCCAGTATCTGACATATAGTAAGTGTCCGAGAAATGTTTGGTGGCTCAGTAAATGGATAAATGAATGAATGAGGTTTAATTTTTAGGATGAAGAAAACATCACATGAGGTGACAGAAGCTAGGTAGCTGTGGTTGTGGGTCTGTTTCTCTCAATTTCACCCACAAAGCCATTATCAGCAAAATCTAAGAGGCAGAGGTGGCTGGGGACATATGGCCAGCAGCCAGTCCAGGGGCACGCAGAGGCCTCTGGGCAGCAGCCCTCACCTCCACAACATTCAGCAGATGCTCATTGCTCTCCCAGAGGAGGGTCAGGATGATCCCTTTAAAATCCCTGAAAGACACAAAAGACAGATCCCTGAGGGGTCTTGTCTAATCACACCAAATGGTGTGGACAAAACCAAATGGACAGAACATTCTGAGTGCTCAGCAGCCCAGCCAGGATTGGACAGTTCATGTGATTCCCAGGTGTGTTCTCACCTAATATTTCTATTTGTCTAGCTTAATGGCTCTTTTATGTGATAAGCTGGGTTTGGCCCCTTCCAAGAGTCTATTCTCTTTTGGCCTCATCACTCATTGTAGCTACTTGCTCCTGCCCTGGGACCTTTGCACACACTGATTCCTCCCCAGAGAACATGGTTAACTTTCTTCTTGGTCACATTTGCTCCTGCTCTTCCTCAGATCCTAACCTGGTGGCAATTCCTGACCATCCTGGTCCAATGCTCTCAGAGTGGTCCTCAGCTCTACAACACTCCCCACAGAGGGATTTGGGATTGATTTTTGTGACCGGCTGATTAAACTCTATCTCTTCTAGAAGATGGTAAATTCCATCTAGACAGACCGCATGTGTCTGTTTTGCTCACCATGGGACCCCCAGTCCTGCTACAGAGTCTGAACTTATTTGTACCTCAGTATTGGTTGAAGAAAGAAAGAACAATTTCTTATAAATATTAATCAAACAAGCAGGACTTCCTGTAGGACCAAACATCCGCCTTCCGGTACCTCTGCCATTTAGGCTCACTCTGTACACACTGGGGCTTTATTAAACAAAGTTGCCCAGTACCAGTGGATATTCCTGGCCAGTTAAGTTAATTATCTCAATAGTAAAAGTGAAATAAGGGAAGGGATAGATGTATTAGAACTTAATTTAACTTAGAACCTTAAGATGTAGGACACTTAATTTTTCACAATTTCTGTTAAGTGATGCAGCCAATTTCTAAAACATATGTATATAGGCCACTCACTGTTTCATTTTAAAATTCACTCATCATAACTAAAGAAAATTAGAAATATACTGAAAAGCAAAGGAGAAAATGAATGCCAACATTTTATTGTATTTCCTTCTGGCTGCTTTTAAAGTCAGTTTGGAATTAGGTTCATGTGTATTTTACATTCTGTTCACTTGTTAAGTGTTCCCCCACATTAAGATATCTTTTTAAATGGCTGTGTAACACCATCTAGTATGTAAGCACCATGGTTTGCAATCCTCTATTTTTGGACTGCTAGGTTTTCTGATTTTTTTAATCTTTCTTTTTTTAAAATTTATTTATTTAAATTCAAGTTAGTTAACATACAGTGTAGTATTGGTTTCAGGAGTAGAACCAGTGATTCATCACTTACATGTAACACCTAGTGCTCACCCCAAGTGCCCTCCTTAATGCCCATCCCCCATCTAGCCCATCCCCTACCATCTTTATTGAAGAGTCTCTTATGGTTTCCTTCCCTTCCCCTATGTCCATCTGTTTTTTAAATTCCACATATAAGTGAAATCATATATTTTGACTGACTTATTTCGCTTAACATAATACATTCTAGTTCCATCCAGGTCATTGCAAATGGCAAATTTTCATTCTTTTTGATTGCCGAGTAATATTCCTGTGGTGTGTGTATGTGTGTGTGTGTGTGTGTGTGTGTGTGTGTGTACCACCTCTTTATGCATTCATAAGTCAATGCACATTTGGGCTTTTTCCATAATCTGGCTACTGTTGATAGTGCTGCTATAAATATTGGGGCGCATGTGCCTCTTGAAATCAGCATTTTTTAAAGTTTATTTATTTTGAGAGAGAGAGAGAGAGAGCACAAGTGGGGTAGGGGTGGAGATGAGAGAGAGTTCCAAGCAGGCTGTCAGTGTAGAGCCTGACGCAGGGCTTGATCAAACTCACAAACCATGAGATCATGACCTGAGCCAAGATCAAGAGACAGATGCCCAACCAGCTGAGCCACCCACGCACACCCCAAAATCAGCATTTTGTATCCTTTGGATAAATACCTAACAGTGCAATTGCTGGTAAGATACTTCTGTTTTTTTTGTTTTTTGCTTTTTTTTTGGAGGAACCTCCATACTGTTCTCCAGAGTAGCTGCACCTGTTTGCATTCCCACCAACAGTGTAAAAGAGTTCCCCTTTCTCTGCATCCCTTCCAGTATCTGTTGTTTCATGAGTTGTTAATTTTAGCCATTCTGACAGGTGTGAGGTGGTATCTCATTGTGATTTTGATTTGTATTTCTCCAATGATGAGTGATGTTGAGCATCTTTTCATGTGACTGCTAGCCATCTGGATGTCTTCTTTGGAGGTGTCTATTCATGTCTTCTGCCCTTTTCTTCACTGGATTATTTGTTTTATTGGGTGTTGAGTTTGATAAGTTCTTTATAGATTTTTGATACTAACCCTTTATCTGATATGTCATTTGCAAAAATCTTCTCCTATTCTGTCGGTTGCCATTTAGTTTTGTTGATTGTTTCTTTCGCTGTGCAGAAGCTTTTTATCTTATTTTTTAATGTTTACTTTTGAGAATGAGAGACAGACAGAGTGTGAGCAGGGGAGGGGCAGAGAGAGAGGGAGACACAGAATCTGAAGCAGACTCCGGGCTCTGAGCAGTCAGCACAGAACCCGACACGGAGCTCGAACTCGAACCATGAGATCATGACCTGAGCCAAAGTCGGTAGGTTAACCAACTGAGACACCCAGGTGCCCCCAGAAGCTCTTTATCTTGATGATGTCCCAATAGTTAATTTTTGCTTTTATTTCCCTTGTCTACTATTTGACTAGGCCTCATCCTTGGACACCGCCTTTGGCTTGCTATGTCCTATGTTAGTAATACTACTAAGTCAGGGGCACCTGGGTGGCTCAGTTGGTTAAACATTGGACTATTGATTTTGTCTCAGGTCATGATCTCACTGTTCATGAGATCGAGCCCCATGTTGGGCTATGCACTGACAGCATGGAGCCTGCCTGAGATTCTCAATCTCTCTCTCTCTCAAAATAAATAAATAAAGATTTTAAAAAATAAATAAATAATTAAAAATACTGTTAAGTCAGTTCAGATACTACCCACCCACCCCACCCAATATCTGAGCACCTCTGATTTCCAATAGCCATGGCCTGCCTGCAGCAAGAATCCTGCTAAGTAGGCAAGAATCCACTACCGTTGAATTTTCAATCTACTGACCTCCTCACTCTGCATTTCGGCTATAAATCTTTTCTTGTCCTTATTGTATTCTGAGTTGAGCCCCATCCCTCTTCCCTGTTGCAACAGTCTTGGTGCCTATTGCAATGGTCCCACATAAAGTATTCCTTACTGTTTTAACAAGTATCAGAATAATTTTTTCCTTAACACCTCCCACTGGCAGTGCCTGGGAGGGACCATCTGCACCCTCCCTTGATAAACTGGGAACTTCCTCTAAAATCTATTTACATATTGGTTAATGTTGGGCAAAATATGGAATGGATTTGTTCCCTTTTCATTTGTTTGCATTCTAGTGAGAATTAGTGTTTTGTCCACATGTTTGTTCCTAATTTTATTTCTTCCTCACGTGTGGTCTCTTCCAATTCTCCCCTTACCCTATTGTGTGCTGGAAATTTCTTTAGCAATTTTCTGGGGGAAGGGGATGGGGAGAGGAGCCAATTTTTCCTTTGTTGTCTTTATTTACCACTATTGTGTCTTGACTGGTTGTTATCTAACTTTTAATTGCATTTTATCTCAAAGGAGTTTAAAAATTTATTTGCCAAAATTTTCCATCTTTTTCCGTGTGATTTCATCTAGTGCTTCTTGAGGTGATGATCCTGCATTACTTGAGGGCGACCTGTAGACGACTTGCTGGCTTGTCTTCACAATTCCAAGAAGAGGACTCTCTTCTACCCACATGCACAGGGAAGGTGAAGGCTTGGGGAGAAGTCACTTAGCCAGAGTCCCAAGGCGGGGGTAAAAACATCATCAGTCTGATTCCATTTTCTGAGCAATTCACCACTGTGTTATGCTAGGAAAGTCTCTCCCTTTCAGAGATTTCATAAGTGCTTGATTTTTTTTTTTTCTGTTTAGCCTGTGATCTTTTTTTCACCACTAAAATACTGTGGTGCATCCATACTGTGGCTAACTATTTAGCAATACAAAGGGATGAACTAGTGATACATGTGACCACTTAGGTGGATCTCAAGGGCATCATATTGAGTACAAAAAGCCACTCTGCAAATGTCATACACTGTATGAGACTGTTTATATGACCTTCTTGAAATGACAAAATAATAGGGATGGAAAATGATCAGTGGTTGCTCAGGGTTAGGGATGGAGAGGGAGAGGGCATGGGTACAGCTATAAAGGAGTGACAGGAGTGACATACAGTTGGTGGTGATGGAACAGTTCTGTTTCTTGATTGTGGTGATAGTTACATGAATATACACATGTGATAAAATGACAGAACTATAAAAAGTTGAGAGTCAAGATTTTGATGATGAGGAATGCCTTTTTGTGAATGGGACAAGGGAGCATCTAGCTGCTGACTTGGACCCAACTTCTAGGTCCTGAAGTCACTCTTCTTTTCTTTATTTTTTAATGTTTATTTATTTCTTAGAGAGAGAGCTGGGAGAATGACAGAGAGATAGGGAGACAGAGGATCCGAAGCAGGCTCTCCACTGTCAGTTCAAAACTTGACATGGGGCTTGAACCCACGAGCCATGAGATCATGACCTGAGTCAAAGTCAGACACTTAACCAACTAAGCCACCCAGATGCCCTGAAAACCACCCTTCTTTGCAAACTTCACAAACCCCAGAGATAAGACCAGTGGGGCAAAAAGGCTGATGATGAGTTCCCTGATTAAGGGGGAGAGGGTATCTCTGAGTCTCTTTGATTGCTTTCAATTTTCTTAAGTTGCTTATTTGCTTGAAATGTAGCCATTAAGTGGAACAGAGTTTGTTTTAATAAATGAAATTAAAATAAAGGGAAAGAGGAATGAGGGAGGTGAGGCATTAAAAAATTGAAGAAAAAAACCCACAAACAAATCCCAGACTTGAAAGAGGTGTGCTTCCCGCTACCCCAAAAAGCTTAACTTAGAAAATGTGAAATTTTGGTGAAAATGTCTCTCAACAAATTTAGGTGAAATGGGATGAGACAAACTGACCTTGACCCTCATATTTCCCCTTGCAAATCTCTCCTGCTCTGCCCCCCCACTTCTTATTTTCCCCTCAGCTGTGTCAGATTTAACCACCCCCTTCACAGAGACAACAAGTTAAAATGGACTTAAAGGAAAAGGTGCCACTTACTCAGCTGGCGGCGGCGGCTTCTCCCCGAGCACCTGGTACTTTCTGTCCATTCGGTTGGGCTTGGAGTACCGTGTGATGCTGTGGGACAAAGGTGGATCAGTGTTCTGGAGGCTGGGGTAGACAGACAGGTCTGTGGGAGCCCCACCTAACTTGCTGGAGGCCCTGCGTCTGCCTGTGGGACACCGTGACCCCCATGTCTGGGCCTGAATCCTTCAAGATACTTCCCTACTCCTCAAAGCTTTGGAGATGCTTATTGTGGGGGTCAAGTCCTTATTGCTAAAACTGACCCAAGGCCCCTGGGAAGGGGCAAGGGGCCAGAAATTCATATCCTTGCTTTCCTGTGAGGAGGACCCAAAGAAAAACAGGTTGAGGTGCTTTTCAAACAAAAATACAATGTGCCCAGTTAAACTTGAATTCCATATAAGAAGTGAATAATTTTTAGTGTAAGCATGTCCTATGCAACATCAGACAGCCCCAGCAACATGGACTTCATTTTGTAACCACTGAGAGACTGAATATACAGATGGGCAATAGCTGGACTATACAAAAATACAGAACTCTGACCCCAAACCTGCAGCAACGTGCCCAGGAAACCAATTCCTTGTCTATAATAAACAACTCGGGAAGCCAGCCTGATAGAAGTCAATCTGGAGGAAGCCATATTGTCATCTCTAGTGGCAATCCAGAATGCCAAACAATAACTCCTGTAACAATCATCTCCAAATGGCCGGGACTTGATTACTGACAGCTTCCCTGAATTTTGTCCCTGCTTCCAACTTAGAACCAATCAGGGAAAGTCAAGTACACAGCCCTAAATAATCACATAGAATGCCCTGCTGCTAGTTGTCCTGCCTCCAGCTTCCCCACATCAACAGCCTCCAATAAAGGCACATTTAAAGCCTTCCTTTTCTCCACTATACAGTTTTTTCGCTCTTGTCTGCCTTTGAGTCTCTGCTAAAACAGAAGTAATGATGGCTGACTCCCTTGCTGTACCAAGCTCCGAATAAATAGCCTTTGCTTTTCTCATTTGGTTGGTCTTAGGTTTATTTCCACGTTGCAGATGGCATTCATGTTCATGGACCTTTTGGAGGTATGCAAAGCAGGAATTGCCTCACCGCTACTTCCTCAAAACCAGGAATCAAACCATATAAATGAGGGCTCACAGAGGACCCAAAAGTCAGTTCAACCACTGGCTCTGTTACTTGCCTTCTGTTGAATCAGTGTCAGGGGCCAGCGGGGCCCACATTCACTGAGTAATGAGTCTAATGACCTCTACAGGGGCATAATGGGCAGAGTGCCTGACCAGGATGCAGAGGCCCAGAATTTCTCCTGGAGAGAAAGCCATCTCCAATGTCCCTCTTTTTGACTGGGAAGAATGGGTATGGGAGGAGGGCTGGGATCTACCAGTTGTGACCATGGCAAACCACTGAATGCCCAGATGGGATCTCAAGGTGGGAGGCCTGTGTGAGCTGCATCACTCAGCAGGAATGAGCACAGACCTGACTAATGCCAGCTTCAGAGCCAACCTCTCACTGGGTCCAATGGGGTCTCAGAGCTGGGAGTACAGGTGGTACTTTCCGAGGACAGTCTGATAAATGGACAGGGTGGTCTCTGGCCTATGTCTATGGGGACAAGGAAGGCATCTGGGAAGGGGAGATCCTCAGCAGCCCAGCAGACCTACCTCGTTGTTGAAGTGGCACTGGCACTGGACAGGGCCTTTCTCACGACATGTTCTCCCCGGTTCCGGTGTCGCTTCAAGCCTTTGGGTGATGAGCACCCAGGACAAGAACAGAGGACCCAAGGTGAGGATGGACCAGGTGGCAACACTGGCTTTCCCACCGCCAGTGCCCCAAGACCCACAGGCCTGTTTGTCTCTACCTGTCTGGAACCGATCTTTGTCGCACTGCTGGGTTGAGCATTTTGAGTTGGGAAGTCTGAAACCAAAGGAAAGGATATGAGCTTTCCCCAGTGACCATGAGGACAGCTCAGGGCAGGCATTGGGTACCATCCCAGTTAGCACATAATACCATGTGAACGTGTCCTATTATGAGGCCCATTTTAGAGGAGGAAACTGAGGCCATGTACACCCCATGGCCACTCACTGCAGGATCTTCTTGACAACTTCCACAGCCGGGTCTTCAATCATGGACTTCCCCATGCAGCTGGGCTGGGCAAAGGACTCAGGGGTGACCAAGTCTACCTTGGCTTCCTCTTCAAGGACTTCTGAAGACACCAGGATGTCACTCTCCACCTCCATATCGATCATGATGTCATCCTGCAGGCCCAAGAGAAGGGCCTGAGTGTGTGGGCCCAGTCTACATGCTAGGGATGAAGGCAGCTGGGTTCATGTTCCAAAAGCACCTTGCCCAGGGGCTGCAGCAGGAGGCTAGCTGCCTGATTCTTTGAGTCTGTATTTTCCTTCTAAAAAATGGTAATGGTCATATATCCTTTAGAGAGTCATTCATTCATTCATTTATATGTGCATGTGGCTTTCAAAAATATTTCCCAAGTACCTGCTTTCTGCAAGGCTCTGGCTGGGTCCTGGGACACAGGGTGGAGAGGTAACATGTGATCTTTGTTTTTATAGGGCTTACAGTCTAGTCAGAGAGACAAACATTTAACATGCACTTCTACAAATAAATGTCTAGTTAAAATTGTGACCAATGCTATGAAGGAAAAGTTCCAAAGTCTTCCATGAGGCTGAGGGTCATGGATTTACAAGGCCAGCCCATAGATGTGTCCAGGCAGTGTTCTTAAAATGGGTGAATGAATGAATGAATGTGTGGACAAGTGAGTGGCCAACACGCCCTACAAGTCAGACCTTAGAGAAAGGGTAGGAGTAGTGGCCCTCAATGAGGGCTTAGTTAGGCTATTCCCTATTTTGAGTCTTGTCTCAGCAGTGGACTACAAGAGGGAAGGACCCTAGCTGGACTCCTGAGTTCTTTCTTGAAGGGCGCAGGTGGTATGATGCTGGTGGTATGATGGAGGGTTAGTATTGGTGGCATGGTGGGAAGCGCCTCCCCATAGAAGGAAGGACTGGTTCAAAACATGGCAGTGAGAGCAGAACTTGAGGGATGTCCACTTATTCCCATATTGTTCTATGTCACACACTCCTGGAAGTTGGTTGAGTGTCTCTGGTGTTCAAAACCTGATGTGAGGGGCTGAGTGCAGGGTGGCGGTGACAGAAGCTCTGCCCTCTTGGGGTACACAGTCTGGAGAGATAGCCCCTAAAAATGGAGACATCACTGTGGTCTGTGAGAGAAGGCCCAGTGGGAAGTGATGTCTTTTGGGTGGGAGTGGGGGTGAGAAATGAAGAGACCATGGAGGGCAGACCAAAGAGGCTGCTGTGAAGGCTCAGTTGAAGGATGTGGATTTCACCCTGAGTGATCAGGAGAGTGGCACAGTCAGACTGACCTTCTCCAACATTATGTCTGGCTGTAGTTCAGGGAGTGGATCATGAGGGAACGTGAGAGGAAAAGGGCAGCCATGTGGGCAGGAAGAGGTTGGTGGAGGTGGGGTGGGGAGAAGCCAGTGGTTGCTTATGCGCATGGGTGGGAAGGAAAAGGCTGAAAGGCAAGGGTAGCCTGAGAGCTGGCAGGTGGTAGGTCTTGGTGAAGGTGAGGAGATGGTGCCAGGAGGTGAGGAATCTCCTAAGATGGCAGGGAAGTGGACTATTTGGGATTTGAATCCCAGATCTGACTGCACAGCCTATGGTCTTTCCAAGGCAACCTGGTAGGCCTGGTGTTCAGCAGGACCCTGGGAGCCGTCTCTTCCCTCAGGCTCTACTGAGCTCTGCAGGTCTCCTGAGAGCCCAGCCGTGACAGCTCACCCACCCTTCCCTACTTCCCATTCCCTTCCTCTACTGTCTGTTCCTTACAGTAAAGACAACTTGAGTCGTGTATACGATGTCCAGCCTGCAATTCAGGTACTGAATCCTCTGGCCCAGTTTTTCTTTCCAAGTCCGGACCAAGCCAAGGAGGTCATCCGTGGCCACCACCTGGGAGAAGAGAGCTTTAGGAAGCAAGCTGCAGGAGGGCCGCCTGCCTCCATCTGAACCACAGGCCTCTTGATTCGATGGAGGCCCCTCACTTGCAGGGAGGGCCCTAGGAGAGTGGGCGGTGCTGGCTGGCTCTCTCGGGCAACTGCAGTGGGGCAGTAAATCCTTCACTGACGGGGCATCAGGAGTTCTAGTCCTGGTTTTATGGGTTCATTCTGGGCAAATGATTTGAGTTAGCTCAACTTGGTCTCCCCATCTGTGTGGTGGGACACAGAATGTTCCTTGGAATCTCTTCTAGCTTTGACGCTCTTAGAAGGAAATGTTTGGCCCCAAATGGCCACGTTGTGTGTGAGTGAAATGACCACAGCCTTTCTGGAAAGTGATCTAACCATTTCCACAACAAGCTCAGATACACACCCCCTCAAGCAGCAATCCCACAGACCCTGCCCCCAGGTGTGCAGGAAAGAACATGTAAGGACGTTCACCTTTACGTGCACCCACACATCACTTGTCGGTCCTCACACTTGGTCCCCTGCATTGTTCACTGACCTATGTACATGACCCAGGCCAGGAGGTGCCTTGGCCTCTTCTGCTTCCTTCATTTCTGGTGAATTCTGAGTCCTAACCATTCCCCCGCTACTCAACTCTGGAATTGGAAGGTGTCCCTGGTGGTACCTTGTCCAAGCCACAATTCTCTGTGCTTCAGTTATGACACGCTGCCTCACTCCTCCCTCCCTCCCTGCCTTTCTGCACACAGCAACCTGAAGCCCCTCCATGTATGTGGCACTGAGCATGTGACCCTGGCCACACCTGTCCATGGTCCCCACTGCCTTCACCATGCAACTGATGCATCATTCCCATCTCCTGATCACTGTTTTGCAGAGGTGTCCAACCAGTCTCCTCCATCAACACAGGATTGCCTGCCCACCCAAGTTCAAGTTCCCCTGACCTGGCCAGAAGGCTGTGAAAGCCTTCCCCTGTCCAACACTCTGACACCACAAGAAGAGGGCAGTGAGGGGGTTGGAGAGGTGAGGAAATGCAGGAGAGCAAATGTTTCTGCTCTGGAGAGGCAGAGCTGTCCCTAAAGGGACTGATAAAGAAGTCATGGCAGATTAAGCTGGTTTCCCCCTGTTCCTCAGGGGTCATGCAGAAATAACTGCATAAAAACACAGAGGTCACAGGGGCTCTGCAAAAAAATGAGAATAATATGAGGGATGTGTATTCACTTAGTGCTTTGTGGATGTTTGAACTTTTCTCAAGAAGCATGTGTTACTATGCAAGAAAAAGCATAGAGACTAAATGTCCTCTCAGTGCTAACAAACATGAAACCTCAACTCAGTCACTGAAATGGAAGAGAAAAGACAAAGCTTGGTGAGGAAGGAACATCCCATTCAAGAAACCTCCAGTTGAGACATCTGGTTCTCGAGTGCCTGGTTGAGCTGTTGGGAAAAGATTGCCTGGGGAGGCTGGGACAGACGTGGAACAGGGGACAGAGATATGTGCTGGTGGCAGAAAAACAAGCATGTAAACAACGTAAACATCCAGAGACCTGATGTGCTGATCCACACTGCTCTAATTTGGACATTTTAACCAGTAGTAACCATAGAAAACAGTAGTAACCGGTTCATGTGCAATGATCAAGATGAGCAAATGAAAAATCAAACAAAAAGTGGTTGTTCAGAAAGCAGAGTCCTGCCTGCTTCTGTTTTTCCTCTAGGGCTGAGTTCCAATTACAGGGAAGGAAGCCTGGTGACATCAGCAGGGGAGTGAGGTCAGACTGAAGCCCCACGTTCACTGGACTCTACATGCTTGCCAGGGAGGGGCTGGGGGCGAGAGAAGGTGGCTGTTTTCTCTTCTCTTCCTTAATTCCATTGGGTCCAACAGGGGTTAAGTAGGAAGGCTCAGAGGCCCCTCTGGAGCTGGAGAAATCTTGATGACAGATGTAAATTTACTTTCAGTTTGATTCTTGTATAATGGCATCTTCACTATTCATAGCTTAGCAAATACTGAATACTTACTTTTTTATCTCCCTTTGAGTTTCGACACATTTCTATTTTCCTTTGAAGCTGTTCCAGAGACAAATTCAATCCATCTGTTTGCAGATTGGATTTTGCAACCTAGAAAAACCAGAACTTCCAAGGTTTGTTTCTAGAATACTTATTTTTTTATTTATTATTTTTTTAATATGAAATTTATTGTCAAATTGGTTTCCATACAACACCCAGTGCTCATCCCCACAGGTGCCCTCCTCAATACCCATCACCCACCTTCCCCTCCCTCCCACCCCCCATCAACTCTCAGTTTGTTCTCAGTTTTTAAGAGTCTCTTATGTTTTGGCTCCCTCCCTCTCTAACCTCTTTTTTTTTTCTTTCCCTACCCCATGGTCTTCTGTTAAGTTTCTCAGGATCCACATAAGAGTGAAAACATATGGTATCTTCTTTCTCTGTATGGTTTATTTCACTTAGCATAACACTCTCCAGTTCCATCCACGTTGCTACAAAAGGCCGTATTTCATTCTTTCTCATTGCCAAGTAGTATTCCATTGTGTATATAAACCACAATTTCTTTATCCATTCATCAGTTGATAGACATTTAGGCTCTTTCCATAATTTGGCTATTGTAGGAAGTGCTTCTATAAACATTGGGGTACAAGTGCCCCTAGGCATCAGCACTCCTGTATCCCTTGGGTAAATTCCTAGCGGTGCTATTGCTGGGTCATAGGGTAGATCTATTTTTAATTTTTTGAGGAACCTCCACACTGTTTTCCAGAGCAGCTGCACCAGTTTGCGTTCCCACCAACAGTGCAAGAGGGTTCCTGTTCTAGAATACTTGTTTTGATCAGCAACATATTCAGCAAAACATTATATAAGAGATGAATTAAATATTGGAAAAATGAAATTGGTGGGGGGAGATGCACAATGTTATCAGAAACTAGATCAATGCAAATGTAAAAGTTTTTGTTTTAGGGGTGCCTGGGTGGCTCAGTTGGTTGAGCATCCAACTTCAGCTCAGGTCATGATCTCACAGCTTGTGAGTTCGAGCCCCACGTCAGGCTCTGTGCTGACAGCTCAGAGCCTGGAGCCTGGTTCAGATTCTGTGCCTCCCTCTCTCTCTGCCCCAACCCACTGGCATTCTGTCTCTGTCTCTCTCAAAATTAAATAAACATCAAAAAAATTTTTTTAAGTTTTTGTTTTGTTGTGTTTTTTTACTGTCAAACAGATAAGGTTTAAAAATAAAATCGACAACCCACAGTAGTGGTTGAGGGTATGAAGAAGAACACACTCATGACCAGCTGGTGATGAGTTGTCTGTAAAAGCCACCTGGAAACACGTGAAGCCTTAAAACATTCATGCTCTACCCCAGTAATTCTAGCTCTGGGAGATACCTTACAGACATAATCAGAGTTCCCTCTGCAAGGGTATTTATCATATCACTGGCATAATAAGTGAAATCCAACAACTATTTCTCCAAAAAGGATTGGCTAAGTAAAAATGGCAACACATTCAGGAGAGGGAAGCCAGAACAATAGTGTCTTCAAATAACCTTTAAAGATTATATAGCTTACAAAATTGTATAAAATAGAAAGAGGCTGGATTTTGTGTGTGTGTGTGTGTGTGTGTGTATGTATGTATGTGTATATATCTTTTATATATAATATAATATAATATAATATAATATAATATAATATAATATATATGTATATATATATATATAAAATCTTTATATGCATAGAAAAAAGTCTAAAAATAATTCAAAGTCTTTCCTGGCTTCATTGAGATATAATTGACATGTAACATTATATAAGTTTAAGGTTTACAATGTATACCTTATTATAAAGGTATAATTTGTATAATTTGACATGTGTATATATTGCAAAATAATAGGAGATTGGATTAGTAATCAAAACCCTCCTGACAAAGAAAAGCTCAGGACCTGATGGTTTCATGGGTGAATTCTACCAAACATTTAAAGAAAACTTCACACCAATTCTTCTCAAGCTCTTCCAAAAAATAGAATAGGAGGGAATATTCCCAAACTCATATTACAAAGCCATCACTACCCTGACGCCAAAGTCAGGTAAGAACACTACAAAGAGGGTGCCTGGGTGGCTCAGTTGGTTAAGCATCCGACTTGGGCTCAGATCATGATCTCATAGCTCATGAGCTCAAGCCCCACATCGGGTGAGCTCGTGCCCTGCTTCAGGTAGCACAAGCCCTACTTCCAGTGAGCATAAGCTCCGCTTTGGGTGAACACGAGTTCCATTTTTGGGTGAGCCCTGTTTCTCTCTCTCCCACCCTCCCTCTCTCTGTCTCTCTCTTTCTCTCCCTTCCCCTCCCCCCTCTCTCTGCCCCTCCAGGGATTTTCTCTCTCTCTCTCTCTCCCTCTCCATTGCTCACTTGCGCCCTCTCTCTCTCTCTCTAAAAAAAAAAAAAAAAAAAAAAAAAAAAAAAATAGAACACTACAAGGAAACTACAGACCAATATCCCTTATGAATATACATGCAAAAATCCTCAACAAAATATTAGCACATGAAATTCAACAGCACATTAAAAGCATTGTATACCACGATCAAGTGGCATTTACCTCTGGATGCAAGGAGGATGTTTCTACAAATGCAAATCAATCAATGTGACACCACATTAATAGAATAAGAAATAAAAATCATTTGATCAGTACAATAGACACAGAAAAAGCAATTGACCAATTGGTCTATTCAGATTTCCTATTTGTTCATGATTCAATCTTGGTAGATATATTTCTACAAACTTATCCATTTCTTCCAGGTTATCTAATGTGTTGGCATATAATTGGTAATAGTCTCATGATTCTGGTATTTCTGTGGTATTAGTTGCAATGTCTTTCATTTCTGACTTTATTTGAGTCTTATCTCTTTTTTTTCTTAGTCTAGCTAAAGGTTTGTCCATTTTGTTTATCTTTGAAAAACAAGCTCTAGCTTCATTGATCTTTTCTATTGTTTTTCTGGTCTCTATTCCATTGATTTCTGATCTGATCTTTGTTATTTCCTTCATTCTGCTAACTTTGTTTTTGTTTTTTTTTTTTTCCTATTTCCTTGAGGTTTACAGTTAGGTTGTTTATTTGAGATCATTGACCTGGGTTCACATTTTGAAATTTAAAAACAATTTTTTTAATGTTTATTTTTGAGAGGGAGAGACACAGAGCACAAGCAGGGGATTGGCAGAGAGAGAGGGAGACACAGAATCTGAAGCAGGCTCCAGGCTCTGAGCACAGAGCCTCACATGGGGCTTGAACCCACAAACCCCAAGATCATGACCTGGGCCAAAGGCGGATGCTTAACCAACTGAGCCACCCAGGCACCCCTGCCTGAGCTAGGTTCACATTTTGGCTCTACCATTTAAGATCTCTGTGTTCTTATCTAAGTCACTTAGTTATTCTCGGCCTCAGTTTCTTTATCTCTAAAGTAGGAATAAAACAGAACTTGCCTCCTACAGTTCTTGTGAGGACTAACATTGCTAATCAAAATAAGTCAGTTATCAGGATGCATGGTGCGTAATAACTCAATGAATCCTAGAGGCTACTATGATTTAATCTCTGTCTTCCTGGCTGGAATTTAAGTTTCATGGGGGAGAGCCCACAATGGTATCCCCAGCACTTGGGACAGTGCCTGGCATGCAGGTGTGTGTGTGTGTGTGTGTGTGTGTGTGTGTGTGTGAGATAAACATCTACCAGGTAAAAAGTGAATCTGTCCTACCTCGCTCTTGATGTTCACTTGCAGATTTGTCAGCAACCGCTGGATTTTCTCTATGAAAATAAGGTCCACAGACAGGTTATGAAATTTGCTTTCAAACTTATTGATGACATCATTGGCCTGTAGAGAAATATAAAAAGTAAAGGAGGGGGCCGCCTGGGTGGCTCAGTCAGTTAAGCATCAAACTTCGGCTCAGGTCATGATCTCACAGTTTGTGAGTTCGAGCCTGCGTCTGTGCTGGCAGCTCAGAGCCTGGAGCCTGCTTTGGACTCTGTGTCTCCCTCGCTCTCTGCCCCTCCCCCACTCACACTCTGTCTCTGTCTCTCTCAAAAATAAATAAACATTAAAACAAAATTAGAAACTAATCCTTTTTTTAAAAAAAGTAAAGGAGGGAGGTTTACTTGGAACTTATGAACTTTGGAAGCAGAGGGGGACAGGCTCAATTTTTTGGAAAGGGGGCTTGGCAGGGCTCATCAGGCAAAGTACAAGGGCGCCCCGGATGCCTGGCTGGAGGTCAGGGGCAGGGCTCCCCAACCTGGCCCAGGTATTCATTCTCCATCTTCTCCATGTTGATCATGATTAAACTTTCAACAAACTCTATTCGAGAAGCTTCCTTCTCCAGTCGATGACACAGTGAGTCAATTTCTTCGGCAGAAAAGTTGCCTCCGTCAGAAAACAATCTGAAAATAGTTTGGGAGAAAGAAAAGGCACTGATCAGACATGAAACTTCCCACCCATTCCAAATCCTGTGGTCGACAAGGCTTTAGATTAAAAGTTTAAGATCATAGAAAAATGAATGCAGGTGGTTCAAAGATAGAAGCAGTGAAATAACCCAAAAGCCCTTCAAGGGATGAACGGAGAAACAATATGTGGTATGGACACAAAATGGAACAGTATTCGGAAGGAATGAAATTCTGACACGTCACATGGGTGTGTTGAAGACATTATGTTAACTGAAATAGGCCAGACACACAAAAGGAAATATTGTGTGATTTCACTTATGCGAGGTACCTAGAGAAGTGAAATTCATGGAGACAGAAAATGGAGTTGTGGCTGTTGGGGGCCAGGGGGAGGAGAATAGGAGTTAGTGTTGAATGCGTTCAGAGTTTCAGTGTATAAAGACGAGAAATTTTGGAGATGGATCGTGGTAATGGTTGCACAACAATGTGATTGTACTTAATGCCACTGAACTGTACACCTGAAAATGGTTAAAATGGACAATTGTACGTCCTATGTATTTTGTCACAATAAACAATGGAGGGGAAACAAGACCACTTCTCAATAGAGAAAGCCCAGTGTCCACAGAGGCCCCGACGCTGGCTCCCACCTGCAGTGCTTGATGAACTCGATGTTGGCGTAGTGAAGCTTGCCCAGGTTCTCCTCCAAGTACTGGCGGAAGCTGCGCAGGGACACCTGCACGACGTCGATGTAGCTGAGCAGCTCCCGGTGCAGTGTGCTGCTGAGAGTAACCAGCCTGGGAGACACAGGAGGGCAGGATGATGACGTGGGCATGGCAGGGCAGCCTGGGGGCGCTGCTTGAGCTCCACTGCAGTGCCCATCTGTGGGGCTACCAGAACCACTGCCATGTTCTTCTGGGTAGAAGAAGAGGCTTCGAAGGAAGCTCAGAATGCCAGTGTGTGCAGGGCACAGTGCGGAGCTCTCAGTGTGCTGGGTCAGAGGACATCCCTCTCCTCTCTCTGGCCCTTGCCGTCAAATTACTAAAGGAATCCCTAGGTCCAACTGATCTGGCTCCTCCCTGCAGCACAAACTTTCTCTTTCACTCCTGTGCCTGGTGTTCTCCTGAGGGAGCACCCTGCAAGTTCCCTCTTCACCTTTAAGTCCACCCTAACCAGCGATCTCTTGTGTACCTGACCGCTGTCCAGACACCTGTGAGGGCTCCTCACCTGTTACCTGAGGTCTCCCTAACCACGCAAGGGCCTCCATCTAAAATCCCTGAATGGCTTCTTTGGAGCCCTTTGCTCTGCCGTGAGCATATCCCCACCTCGAGCTGGGCAGTGCTCCTTGCTGAGGGGAAAAATTCTGTCTCCTCTTCACCTTCCTCCATCTCAGACCAGGAGGCCTCCTGCAGGAAGTTCGTCCCGATTTCCCTTGATGGAAGTGGTCTCTCCCAGCACAGACGTTTCAGGGCAGGTTAGTAGCATCCCTGCATCCTGAACATGTGTGCCCTTTTCTCCCTAGCTGCTCACCCAGCCCCCAGCCCCCTGCCCCCGGACAGACAGTTCATACAGTTAGACTCACTTGTGTGAAGAGGAGAGCTGAAAAGAGAAGGTTGCTGTGGGGCCTGGCAAATGGACTCTTTTATCCACCAGGGAGGAACCACTCCCTTTGAAAGCAGCCACCTGGCTGAGATTCTAGGGCTATGGGGCCAGAGTGGAGACTCCCAGGGCCATACCTCTGGCTCTTTGTGGCATTCAAGAAGATATGCTCCATGTCGTAAATCTTGCGGCGGAAGTTTTTGCTCTTTATGTTTTGCTCTTCTTGGAACCGGTAGAACATCAGCCTCTCCTTTCTCAGCGTCTCGATCACCCCAGCACAGTGGCTGTCCAGCTGCTCTTGATGAAGCAAGAGCTCAGCTGGAAAAGAATGAAGGAGAGCTGAGGCCCTCTGGGATCCCAAGTCACCTCAGGACGTTCCCCTCCTAGACAGTGACAGCTGTCCTTGCCAGGGGTTGGCTTGGGAATGGGTGCAGATCTCAGAGAGGCCAATCTGACACTGCCCCTGGGTGTCTAACTAGAGAAGAGGCTGTCCAGGCTGTGTGAAGGGAGGTCTCTGCTGGTGAAGACACCTGGAAATAGGTGGGATGGGTGGACATTTTGGGAAGGGCAGGGATTGTGGTGAGAGGCTCTGGAGAAAACAACCAGCACAACACTCGGCAGTCAGAGTTTATTGCTTTAAATCAGTGACTACTCTTTCCAGGAGCTTGAATTCCAACAGACTTCTACGGTGGAGTAAACAGAACCAGGATTTGGCTTCAAAGGCTCCATCATAGGTCTTTAAAACTGACAGATAGTTCCAGGTCAGTCCACCCTACCTCCCTACTGCCCACAGTGGTGAAAATTCTGTCCTCCCAGCCATGCCAAGAATGAGTGCAGTGACTCTGGGGCATTGTTTCTCTGACCTTGATCTCCCAATCACACATTGGGTCAGGGAGCCAGGGAAGGGCAAGAAATAGAGCATCTCAATTTATATTTAGTTTTAATGCACATATTTTCCAAATGAAGACAATGAGGTTCCAAAGCCAAGCAGGTCTCCCAAGGCCACAAGCATTGGGACTCCAGGCCAGGCTGTCTGTTCCCACAACTCTGTCACTGCTCCAGGCAGGAAGAGTTTGGGTGGGGCCATGTGTGGTCTCTCTGGGAGCTGGAAGTGTCTATGAAGAAGCTTGAATTATGACATAAGTGAAAACCAAACAGGGTCATTGAGGATCCAAATAAAAGTGTGCCACCCCCTAACGGGGACCTCTGCCTAAGAGAGAAATGGCACCTCTTTTTAAGTTATAAACTATAAGCTGAAATTAATGCCTACCACTTGCTCAAGATTCCTCACTGTTCCATTCCAGGGAGAGTTGATTACCACCAACAATATCCCCTTCTGCAAGCAAGGGAGGGATCAGAGAGGTCAGGTAACCTGTTCAGAGTCACGTAGCTAGAGAGGTTGAGCCTGATAGCTCTGATTCCTGAGCTACAGGAAGCATCTGCTATGCAGGTATATATCTGACAGATGTGTGAGCAGATCTGAGATTCACACTGCTAAAGCATGACAATACTCTTCATTTTAGCATCTAAAAGTCCTGTTTTTAAAAGAAAATTTTTTAAAAATCTCAAATGTGGGTACCTTCTCTGACAGCCTTGGAGATGGAACCCTCACACAGGAGCACCTAATGAACGCAGAACTGTGGTGGCACAGACACCAGCTGTCTGGGGCAGGGTGGCCTTTCCCAGGCTGGGTCTGTACCTGCTCTGACATTGTGGATGTCCTTTTCAATGCACTCAGCTCTTGGCTTGTGTAGGTGCAGATGCAGCTCTAGTTCTGAGTCCAGCTCATCAATCTTGGTGGCCACGGTGACCTGGGTTTTGAGGACACGTTGGGCAAACCACTTCTCTAGGTGCTCGAAAAAACCAGCTCGAAGTCTGAGGGAGAAACCAGTGAGGGTCAGCTCTGCCAGTAGCAGTGGCCACAGAGAGAGCTTCCATATTGTTATATAAAGCATTTCCCTCTCTCACTTCTTATTTTATTTCCTAACTACATGATATTCTTTTGTCTGGATGGACCATCATTCATTTAACCAGATCCCCTTCTGGCAGACACTTTATGGTTTCCAACCATTTGTTCTTCAAAAAAGGCTTCAGTGAATAACCTTGTATATAAGTCAAGCGTAGAAGCATTCCTGTAGGATAAATTCCCTGAACTGGAATGTTGACTCAAAGGCTAAAATACATATGTGGTTCTTGAAGATATGGCTTGACTGCTTTCCTCGCAAGGCAGTCTGTTCCTATTTCTCCGCCGCCTTGCAGTGTATTGCCGAACTTTTGAATTTGACAATTTTGTCATGTTATGACCAAAACTGGGCATGTTGTCATGTGTTTAAGACTATATAATTCCTTTTTCTGCATACTGTGCATTAATATATTTTGCCCATTTCTCTGTTGTGAAGATGCTCTTTTTCTTTTCAATCTCTTTATATGGGAGCTCCTTATATATTAGGAACGTGAGGTCATTTGACTGCAATGTGAGTTGCAAATACTTTCCCCAATTTATCACTTTTTCCTTTTCAAAATTTATGTATTGTTAAGAAGGCTATGTGCTGTTAAGGTGTTGGTTGTCCCCAGATTTATCTATAGATTCAATGCAATAACAATAAAAATCTCAGCAGACATCTTCTAATAGACACCAGTGAGCTGATCTCAAGTTTATGTAGAAATGCAAATGGCCAAAGATAGTTGAGGAGAAGACCAAAATTGGAGAACATACTCTACCAGATATTAAGACTTGATATAAAACTGCAGTAATCAGGCAGGGTGAGGCAGTAATGCAAGAATAGATACACAGAGGGGCGCCTGGGTGGCGCAGTCGGTTAGGCGTCCGACTTCAGCCAGGTCACGATCTCGCGGTCCGGGAGTTCGAGCCCCGCGTCGGGCTCTGGGCTGATGGCTCAGAGCCTGGAGCCTGTTTCCGATTCTGTGTCTCCCTCTCTCTCTGCCCCTCCCCCGTTCATGCTCTGTCTCTCTCTGTCCCAAAAATAAATAAACGTTGAAAAAAAAAAATTAAAAAAAAAAAAAAAAAGAATAGATACACAGAGAAACAGAAAGGAGGTGTGGCAGAGCCATGGGGAGAGGGGAGTCTTCTGGGGTCAAGTGATTATCCATATGGTAGGAAATGAATCTGACTCCTATCTCACAAATTAATCCCAGGTGGATTTTACATATAAATGTGGAAATGTAAAACAATAACATTTGTAGTAAATACCATAGGAGGATATTTTCATGACCTTGGGGCAAGCAAAAATTTCTTAGATAAGAAAGAAAGTACACTAACCCTAATGAAAAAGGTTGATGAAAAGGACCTTATTACAAATAAGAATTTCTTTCTATCAAAAGATACCTTAAGAGAGTAAAAAAAGGCAAGCAAAGAGAGGGATAAACATTTGCCAGGTATTTACCTAACAAAAGCCTCATATCTAGGATAGGGAACTTTCTCACATAAATTGATAAGAGAAAAGATTGACAACCCACCAGGAAAAAAAAATGGGCAGAAGATTTGACTAGACATTTCAAGAAAGACAACCAAATGTTCAACACTACTACACATACACCAGAATGGCTAAAACAAAAACTGCTGACAATATCAAGTGTCAATGAGGATGTGGAGCAACTGGAACCCTCACACACTGTTGTAAACTGTTAAAACAAAATCGCTTTTGAAAACTCTTTGGTGGTATCTTTTGGTTGTATCTCCTCAAGAGGGACACACATATTACCCTATCTCTCAACAATTCCACTCTCAGTTATATATCTAACAGAAATGTAGTCGTATGTTCACCAAAAGACTTATACAAGAATGTTCAGAGTGGCATTGTTCCATTCCCCAGTGAAAAACAAGCCAAATGTGCAGTAGTAGAATGGATAAATAAAATGGGTTATGTATTTTTACAATGGAATACTATATAGGAATAAAAATGAGCTAACCCCACATTCAAAACTACATATGATGTCACTCATATGTGGAATTTAAGAAACAGAACAGATGAACATATGGGAAGGGAAGGAAAAATAAGATTAAAAACAGAAAGGGAGGCAAACCATAAGAGACTCTTAAATACAGGGAACAAACTGAGGGTTACTGGAGAGGAGGTGGTTGGGGGGTGGGCTAAATGGGTGACGGACATTAAGGAGGACACTTTTTGGGATGAGCACCGGCTGTTATATATAAATAATGATTCACTGGGTTCTACTCCTGAAACCAATACTACACTGCATGTTAACTAACTTGAATTTAAATAAATAAATTTTAAAAAATACATATGAATTTTACAAACATAAGGAAAGAATCCTGACATAAAAGAATGCATTCTGTATGATTCCATTTAAATAAAGTTCTAAAATAAGCAAAACTAATGCATAAGTTGGAATATTTGCTATCCTTGGGGAAGAGAGGGCAATGACTTCAGATGGGTACATAAGGGGGCTCCTGGAGAGTTGGTAATGTTCTATTTCTTGGGGGTACTGGTTACCAGGTGTGTTCCCTTTGGATAATTCATTGAGCTGTACATTCATGATTTCCATACTTGTCAGTATTGTATCCTTCAACATGCAAATACAATCAGTTTGATCCAATTTTTTTTTTTTTCTGGTTAGTAGCAAGGCCAGATGGCATAGTGTTTCTTTCAAAACTCTGGAATCACATGGTCTAGATTCATATCCTAGATCTAACCACTTCCTATCCCAGAGATCTTATCCAAGCTACCAACTAAGCTTCAGTTTCTTCATCTGTAAAATAGGCTAATTATGGTACCCCTGTCATAGTTATTGAGAGTATTAAGTCCTCTCAATGCATATTAGCTCTGGTGGTGATCCTTGCTTTTCTTCTTTAAGGGGAGAACAGAAAATGGACTGTGGCAGAGGAAGGAGAAAGGATGAGTTTCAAGTCAAGAGATGTTTTCAAGGTGAGACGATGCTGAGGTGAAAGAGAAGACTCCAAAAGCCTGACTTAACTCTTTCTACTCCATGACCATGTATACACATAGGAGATAGACTACTCAGGTGATCTCTGTCTGGTAAGTCCTGCGATGATATCGTAGAGTCAGGAGTGCAGTGGAAATGCTATCCTAAAGCCAATTGTAAATTTCCACATTTGGTCCAAATTCACTCCCAGAAACTTGGGAGTTAGGGGAGGTAAATTCTCAGTGGTAGAATTATGGGTCATCTTTATATTTTTCCTTGTACTTTTTCAATTTTCTAATTGTCTGCAATTAATGTGTCATATAATCAGAGCCAAATACCATACTGATATACCTAGCATCTATAGTTATATAATTACCGCCCCCCCCCCAAAAAAAAGAAAGAAAGAAAGGAAGGAAGGAAGGAAGAAAGGGAGGGAGGGAGGGAAACCCTAAGGTTACACATATGCCAGGTTAGAATCCCAGAAATATCTTGCAGGGAAAGCACTATTTCTTATGTACAAGGCCCAAGCCAGCAAGGCATCACTGGACAGGCAAAGGGGGTCACTCTCACAGAAGATATCTGTAACTACAAATAATTACTGGAAATTTGTTATTTTTGTTTGTTTGTTTCTCATCTCTACCTTCAGTTACCTACACATTTTCTTTTTCCAGCTGAAACTAGTCCAATCTTTTGTTATAATACCTCACCTTGTTAATAAAACTCAGGACAAGAGAATGAGAATAAAGGGTTTCTACTCACTGCTTCTTAATTCCTAAAACTAGTCTGGATGGAATTATCACTTGGTCTAGGAGGTTGGCACTGGAAGTGTCATTGATGAGAATGGTAGAAAGGTTGGAATTGGGCCTTTTGAAACTCTCTTCTTCTTGTTCCAGGGGTAGGAACACAAAATAAGTATGTCCGCTGGAGGTTGTGAAGGACTCCATGTCTTCACAGGAGATTTCCCCCAGATGCTCTTCCTGGGCTTCGGCCTATGCAGAAAACAAGACTTTAGACTTGACATCATCACACCTACCTGGGGATCCAACCCAGGATATATCCTTGATATCCAACCCAGACTGTATCCTTGATATCAGGGTTATGGATCTGTGGGTGAAATCCCGCCTGTAATTATTTTTTACCCATATAGTGCTTTCAAAATGGGAAATTCTACAAATAGTCTAGATTTCTGATTTCTCTTAAAAATCAGAAAATCTGGCAATTCTGAGTCTCTCCATTACCACATGGCATTATTGTCCGGAGCTGAGTAATGACTGCCTAGTTACCATAGACTGAGTATTGGATGCTCTCCAAAATTCATATCTCCAATGTGTTGGTATTTGGAGGTGAGCTTTTAGGAGGTGATTAGGTCAGGAGGGCAGAGGCCTCATGAATGGGATTAGTGCCCTTATAAAAGAGACCCTGGAATGCTCCCTTGCTCCTTCCACAGAAACACAGTGAGAAGATGGCTGGCTCTCTATGAACCAGGAAGTGGGCCCTCGCCGCACACCAAATCTGCCAGAACCCTGATCTTGACTTCCAAGCCTCTAGAATTGTGAGAAATAAATTTTTGTTGTTTATAAGCTGCCCAGTCTATGGTATTCTGTTATAGAAGCTCCAAGGGACTAAGACAATAATAGTTCTCATCACTTGTCACTACTTTACACTTGGGTCTCCAGACCTCTTCCTATTACATGCCTGTGGGCATTTGAATTTGAGATCCCTGTTGCAAAACAAGTATGCCAATTCTCCACAGCAATATAGGAAAAGGGTCTTTTTCAATTTTGCAATTATGGCATTCAAGTTACTATTCTGTGAGTTGGACTGTGTTTTGAGGACAAGATTTATTAATATGAGGGTCACTTCCCTGCACTCCAAGGAGAGCTCTATCTGCCGACTTGGATGCAGACCTTTTGTGCTACACAACAAGAGAATGGGAAAAGAGGAGGAATGGAGAGACTAGGTTGGTCTATACTGTAAAGAGGAGCTGGGAAAGAGATGACCAAAAATGGGCAAGGGAAGTCATACAGTTCACGGGTGAGTTCAGAGTAAGTTTCAGGGTAAGATGTTAGGAGAAGGTAAATTTTTTTTTTTAATGTTTATTTATTTTTGAGACAGAGAGAGACAGAGCATGAACGGGGAAGGGCCAGAGAGAGGGAGACACAGAATCTGAAACAGGCTGCAGGCTCTGAGCTATCAGCACAGAGCCCGATGCGGGGCTCGAACTCACGGACCGAGAGATCATGACCTGAGCCGAAGTCGGTCGCTTAACCGACTGAGCCACCCAGGCGCCCCGAGAAGGTAAATTTTTAAAAGCATTGTTATCAGATAAGAATTGGATCCCTGTTGGCGGAAGTAAAAGATGTGCACACATGTGTAAATACCCACAAAGACTGCACCACTGGGGACTCCAGCTTGTACTAGGGATATGGAGAGAGAGCCTAGCACACTTTCTCCATACACAGGAATGAATCCATTGTTGGCCTACCTCATCCATAGATAAACTCTCATGTTCTTCCTTTTCCTCCTCCTCCTCCTCCTCCTCCTGCTTTTCTTCCACTTCATGTTCCTCCTCTTCCTCCTCCTCCTCTTCCTCTTCCTTCTTCTTTTTCTTCCTCCTCTTCTCCTTCTCCTTTTTCTCCTCTTCCTCCTCTGTCTCCTCTTCTTGAACCATCACATTTTCCTGGTTCTGGGATGGTTTTAAGGAGCTGTCTCTTTTAACTTGCATTTCTTCTAAACCCTGAATAGACTCCTCACTGGACTCATCCATCTCGTCACTCAGTGCAGATTGTTCCTGCTGGCTCGCTGCCATCTCTTTATTTAAGGAAGACTCGATGTCTTGATCTTCTCCTTCCATCTCTTCCGCTAGCCTGGATGAACTTGTTCCTGCGCTTTCACTGTCTTCACTTCTGCTCATTTCCACTTGAGCTCTCTGTTTACTCCTCCGTTTTCTCATACTCTCCTGGAAGAGCTTTTCCTGTGCTTCTGTTGATGACCAACCCCAAAGCACAAGGAAAAAAATGTTACCAAGGTCACCTGGATTGGGCCTACCTGGCCAACAAATGTACAGAGTGAAGTCAGAGAGGATCAGACTTGAATTATAATAGTGTTACCTGGTTCCCTGAATTTGAAAATGACTTCCCCATCCAAGGTCTACAAAGAAAAAACACAGGACACTGAGTGAGCAGCACTGCCTTTCCCAGAATGCCACTTCTAAGGGCATCTCTTTTAAGTAAAAGGACCCATCCCTCCCCTTCATCTGATACAGGCCTTGATTACTTATTTCACTGGGATAATCAGAGTATTCCCAAACCAGGGAATCAGTTTTCTTTAATCCCAAGCAGGCTAGCAAATCTTTTTATCACACAATAGGTGTTAATAAATAAACTCTCATTCTGACATTTTGGTAGTGATCTGGGGCAAAGAGCAAGAAAGTATAAATTGAGAGATGCAAACAGGCAGAAAGGAATCTGCTGCTCCCAGTGCTGGATGTGAACATACAGAATGAACATAATTTACATGACCTGGGAACCCCTTCATTAACCCTATAAATTCTGAATGAAGTCACGAATGTACTGTGTTGTGGATAATGTCGATAGCATGACACAGTGTGGGCTGTAGAGTTTGCAGTCTGGATTTGAATCCCAGCTCCTTTCAAGCTGAGTTACCCTGGCCAAGTTCCTTAAGCCCCACGGGACTCAGTGCCCTCCCTTGTGACACGGAGATCCTAATGGCACCTAAACTTTAACCCAGGCAACCAGACTGATCTCAAAGCGCAGATGGTAAGCCCACCCTTGTATAACTTGAGCTCCACCTTAACCTAGGTACCATATGAAGCATTTACTAACAAGTGGAACAGAGCTCCATCCAGAGAGGAAGGATTCTCTGAGGATCTGGGGACCCTGTATATACGAGAAAGCCTCATCTAGTTTCAGTGTTAACCACAAGTATTTTCAGGTCTGGCCATACAAGACTCCGGCTGGGTGTGTGGGAAAAAGACAAACTCTAGGAGTGTTGGACCAGGACATTCCAGGTATTCATACATTTACCCAGGGAGCATTCATTGTGTCTGAATCATGTGCAAGACACTGTGCTAAAGGCAACTGAAGCTGAATCAAAATTAGTGAGGTGTACCTGCCCTTCAGGAAATACCCACTCTGGATGCTCTGTAACTGCTGTATTTGACTGCAATAGATATACAAACACATCCAGACAGAGAATGCCTGAATTCAGAGCCCTTCAACCTCTTTTAATCTAAGCAAGAGATGGTCTCTTTTAGAAATGCCTCTAGCTTCTTCCTCCTTGATTTCCTGACAGATTCTCACTGGGCAGGAGTTAAGGAAGGTGTTCAAAGTTAAGGCAGATCAGAGCTAGAAGATACCCTCTCCCCTTTGCTCTTTGGTGAGGGGCTGGGTTTTTGCAGCCCTGTCCATACCTGTTCAAAGATCTCACGAACATAGAAATGTTGGCTAAGGGTGGAGCTGTAGGAGTTGAGTTCTCTCAGTGTGAGCACTGGGTACTCCATCACTTCCTTTGTCAGGGTCTTGTGGAAACACTCATACCTGGGAGGGGGGGAGGCAAGAACTAAGTACTGCAATCATTTGACAGCGCAATTTCATATCTGTGAATGGTCCTTACAGAATTAGATGTACAAAGGCATGAAGACTTAAGGTAATTCACAGAGAACTGTTTTTAATATTGAGAAATTGGAACCAATCTTAAAAAGCTAATCAATTGGGAGATGGTTAAACCATTATGAAGCATCCATATTAAAGAATTCTACATGGATATTAGAAAATAGATATCTGCAGTTATAGATCTATTTGCATTGGATGATCTAGACTTTATTTTAAAACACTTTGTATGTGTATATATCCACATAAAATAATGTACATGTCCGCAAAAGGAAGATGTGGGCAGAAATGAGGGGAAATTTTCTACATGTTTGTAGCGGTTAACTTTTTTTTTCTTTTACAAAGAACACATGTGTTTTAAAATTTGAAAAGGTAGTAGGAGGGCCCATCCCCTGACTTTTAAAAAAAATTTTTTTTAATGTTTATTTTGAGACAGAGAGACAGAGCATGAACGGGGGAGGGTCAAAGTGAGAGGGAGACACAGAATCTGAAACAGGCTCCAGGCTCTGAGCTGTCAGCACAGAGCATGATGTGGGGCTCAAACTCACAGACTGCGAGATCATGACCTGAACTGAAGTCGGATGCTTAACCGACTGAGCCACCCAGGCGCCCCCCATCCCCTGACTTTTAAACTACATGGCCCTGGGGTGCCTGGGTGGCTCAGTCGGTTAAGCGTCAGACTTTGGCTCAGGTCATGATCTCACAGTTTGTGAATTCCAGACTAGCATTGGGCTCTGTGCTGACAGCTCAGAGCCTGGAGCCTGCTTCAGATTCTGTGTCTCCCTCTCTCTCTCTCTGTCCCTTCCCTGCTCACACTCTGTCTTTGTCTCTCTCTCAAAAATAAACCTTAAAAATTTTTGAAAAAAAAATTAAACCACATGGCCTTGAAATAGCCCTCCATAAACATTTCGGATCAAAGTTCTCCCTGGAAGCTTCTGTGTTGGCTGAAAGCAGACCTGCTAAGGACCAGTAGGAGATTCTCCAAAGCTAGAGGCAACATTTTCATCTTGAGCTTGCTAAGCACACCCTGGACTCCAAAGCAGGTAGCCTCTGACCTTGATTATGAATTTCAGGCCATCCCCTTCTGTCTTTTGGGGTCTGGCCTGCCTACCTGTGTTTCATATTCTTCAAAAAATCTTTGGCTTTTTCCAGGTGAAGCTTCAGTGTTTCCTCAAGGCTTTGCTGCCTCAGTTGGTCCAAGAGCTTATCAAGGTGGGCTTCCTGGGCCTGGAAGTCATCCCCAAAATAGAAGAAGTAGATGCGAGTTACCAAAGCGCAGAGAGGGCATGTGAGTGGCATACAGAGACCCTGCCACTGCAGATGCAGGCACCCCAGGGCAAATGCAGGACTTTTTCCTATAAAAAGGGGCACCAAATGTGCCACCACATTTACCTTCAATATTTCAGGCTCTTCTCTCTGCCTATATTCTTCTCTGTCTACATCTCTGGAAACCAGCTCAGATGGGACTCCTCAGGGACCACCTGTCCCTTACACCCACCAGGCCCCGGCAGGCCCCCACTACACCTTCCCACAGTGCCTGCTCCTTGCTCTCCTTGTCACCAACTGTATTTGAAATCAGATGCTGGGTGTGCCCCTCCACTCCCTAGACCTTGTGAAGGCAGGTGGGGTGGGGGCCCAGATCATCTCCTGGGGGCACAGGGTGACTGCTGTAAGTAAACGCCCCACACCCCTGGTCTGTCTGTCTCTTATGCACACTCTCTTACAAACACATTTGGATCCAAGGACCCATCACTAGCCCAGACCTGACTCAGATATAGATTTCTTCTATGACATCCAGGCCCATGACCAAGGTGAGCCTCGGTTTCTCCATCTGTGCAGGTTTTTTAGCTTGAGGCTTTTACATTTGAGTCTAAGATAAGTTTGGGGTTAATTTTTATTTACGATGTGAAGTAAACATGGTGGGGTTTTTTTGTTTTTTTTTTTTCATTTTCTTTTTCTGGCTTTGCCTCTGAATGCTGGCTAAGGTTACAGGCCACCAAATAGAGTCATCTGGGCGTTGACAACCTGGGTGTGGCCCTTTCCTCATTCCCTGCAGGGGCTCCCCCGGGCGCCAGGAGCCACACCTGTTCCTCCAGGATGTGCTTCTGCCGCTGTTGTTCCATCCTCTTCTCCAGCGCTAGCTCCTGCTCGGACAGTGCGCTCTGATGTGCCTCCCACAGCCTCACGGCCTCTTGGAAGTAGCTGAGGAGATCCGAGCTCTGACATTCTGTCTGCTTGGCCAGGTCCTTGAAGGATTTCTGCAGGGGCAGAACCCAGAGAAGGGGCCCAGGGTGGGGAGAAGGCCCTTCCTCATGGGGCTCTCTCACCAGCCGGTGGAGGTCCCACGTCGCCAAGGGCTGGCTGTCACTGCCTGGGCACCATCCTTCAGGGTCATCTTCCTGGATCCTACATTGGCTCACGGCCCTCCCTCCTCTGGGACAGCTTCTGGTCTGCCCAAAGCCAAGCCTTCAGTTTGGCTGACCCCGAAGTCCCATCTCTAGACCTGTCCCATGCCCACCGAAGTCCCTCATGGGAACAAGGAGAAATTTCAGACCTAGAAGAAAGAAGAAGCCATCCTAGACAGCCGCTTGGGCCCTTGGGTGGGCCACACCCATCTCAGCCTGGGAGTCTTTCCTTCTTTGGAGTTCCTTGACTCTCAGCATCTGAGCCAACCACCACACTTTGCTATTAAATCCTCACCTCTCCCCATTTTATAAATGTATTTTAGGCATTCATTGGGGCCAGGGGTCAGCAAACAGCCTGTGAACTGAATTTGGCCTTCGGTCTATTTTTGTTTGGCCCTGAGAGCTATGCATAGATTTTACATTTCTTAGCTGCAAAAAAAAAAAAAAAAAAAAAAGAAAAAGAAAAATCAAAAGAAGATATTTACTAATGTGAAAATTATATGAAATTCAAATTTCAATGTCCACAAGTAAATACAACTTTACTGAAACACATCCACACCCGTTCGTTTCCGCAAGGCCCCTGGCTGCTTTTGGGTGACAGCAGCAGAGCGAGAATTTGTTACAGAGACCTGACTGGCTCACAGAGAACTGAAATATTTACTGTGCGACCCTTGCAGAAAACGTTTGCTCACCCAGCTCCAGACTCTAAGCCTCTTGGGGGCGGGGGCTTATTACTGCTCGTGGCCCTTCAGCGCCCAGACTCAGCAGGGGCTCCAAGGAGCACTCGCTACCCGAGTCCTGTGCAGCACGCGTGTCAGAGGGCAGCTGGGGTGTGGAGGATGAGCCTGGAGCGCCAAAGGGGCTGGCTGTGCAAAGCGGGATGGACTCACTAGTGACAGGAAAGCTGACGGCCCCCGGACTCCTGGTCTTCTCACAGCCTGGCACTCCGGGTGACGCCCCCTCCCCGCTCCCCAGCCGTGTGGGTCCCCAGCTACGCACGTCCAAGAGCTCCAGCTCCTCTTCCACCTTGCTCTGGAGCACTCCCACCATCTGGAAGAAGTATGGGCTCACCAGGCTCTCTGCCTCCTCCTCAGTGAAGGCTTTCCAGTCCAGCAGCTGCTTCTGGAGGGGAGCAAGGCCGAGCCTGGCTTAGGACCAGTGGGGGCTTGACCTCGGTGCCTGGCCCTGCTCCCCGAGGGCTGCCTCTCACCCAGCCTCAGGGGAGACCCTCACAGTGGGGGAGATGGTCCATCTTTACGGTCCGCCCACCAAGGCCAAGTGCTGTGTGCTGTCCCTGTTGTCTCACTGAGTCCCCTGAGGGTGTTCCAATTAGCCCCGTTTCAGAGATGAGGAGACCGAGGCTCAGAGAAGTGAAGGAACTTGCTGGAGGCCACACCTCTGGCAAGGGGTGGGGCCGGGATCTGAACTCAGAACCGACCTACCATAGACTCTACAGGTATAATGAGGCCTCAGTGTTGCTGCACGTCAGACCCGGCTCCTATTTCCTAAAACTGAATTGTGTCAACTGGCAAGCAGGCTCTTCATATTAATAAAGCCTTGTTTTTTGCACAAAATCTACTATAAACCAATCTCCCCCAAAATGAAAACTTGTCCATAGTTGTATACTTCCGATGCTGCTGAATAGGAGTAACCAAGTGCCCTTCCTCTGTCAAGTCTAATACGCTCCTGGGGTGTGTGCTGACTTCAGCTTATCCCCTGCTGTGCCCGACAAAGGAAGGGAGGATGGGCACAAGGGTCAGCACCCAGGACTAAGGGCCACTGGGCTCCTGGGAGGTCCCAGGCAGCAGGGGGATGGGAGGAGGCTGTCAGGGTCATGGTCCTGGGAAGGTTCTCCTAGGGCAATGGTTTCCCTCCCTTCTCTCCCTCCAGGCTTTACTTCTGAGGTTTGGCGCCCTGATAAAGCTGACTGAGAGGCATGTGGCTGCCCCGAAGGCCACAGAGCAAATGGACAGCCCTTGGGCCCTTTGCAGACTTGGTCTTCTCATCGCCAGATAGGGCCGGGGACACCCACCTTGCAGGAGCTTGTAGGATTCAACGTGAGTGTCAGCCCACAGGGATGCAGCACCGGCCCCACGCGGCACTGTAAAGCACTCTGCCCCCTGTGAATTCTGCTCACCTCCGAGTCTTGGTGGCAGAACAAAAGCTCTACAGACTCATGAGGGGTGAAGTAGCAGGAACTCGTTGGAGCCAGGATGCAGGGAGGGGGCATATCGACAAAACATCTCCCTGCACCCCAGAAAACCAGGCATTGTAATCGAAGCGGTTTGTGAGTGAACTCACCGTCTCACTTGGTAACAGAGGCAGGCGGGGTGGACCGAAGGGCTGGGTGTGACAGCAGTGGTGGCGCTACTTATAAAAAGTGAAGCCCTGGAAATAACCTCCCCCCCATATGACCTCCACTGAATAAATAATGTCAAGTGCTGTAAGTGGTACAGATGGTCAAGGTTGAAGTCTGACATGATCAGAGAGTGTACAACTTCATCCGTGGGGTCAGGGAAGTCTTCCTGCAGGAGGTCATGCCGGGCTATACCTTGAGCGATGGGTGGGAATAACTGGGGGTGGGGTGTCCGGGAAGGGGGATGCCCAGAGGCCATTGAGGGCCTGGGGCACGCGAGGAGGCAAAGCAGGGGATCCAGGCTGGAGAGGGGCAGGGGCGGGCCAGGAAGGGCACCCACCTTGCACTCCTGCACGCGGGCCAGGCACTCCTGCCAGGTCTTCTCGTACTGCAGGCGGATCTGCATCACGCAGCCCATGTGGTAGGCATCTCCATGGGCAGAAACAAAACATGTCAGCTGCTCTTCCAGAAGGAAGAGGGGAGATTAGAGTTTCCCCTTTGCAAGGGAGGCAGTGTCTCCCTTTAGCGAAGATAACTGAGGTGAGATCATTGGCCCAGAGGCTGGAATCTCCTTCCTTACAAAGTCCCAGACAGCCCAAGACAAGGACCTCAAATGAGTTGTCTTTATCTGTTCTGAATCCATTCTAACCCTCATTCTTGACTCCGTTTCAAGGCTAATAAAACCCTTTTCAGATGGCTGTACCAAATCATAAAACAAGGGTGCAAACTAATCAGAGTTTACAGATCGTGTCTGTGGTTAATTCCTTAAGTGAACGGACTAGCAGAACACTCAGATGCTGACTGATTGATTTTCTCTCCTACGCTTCTACTGCTTCCCACTTTACAATCAACTCAGCACAACTCTTGGTATCGAAGATAAGCAGCTGATGTTTAACGTTGCTGGCAGTTCTAGAAACTGAAAGACAGCACAAAGATGCTGCGGTGGTTGGTCTTTGACAAGGGCTGAGGAAGAGGACGGGGCGGAGGGAAGCTGGGGATAGATTTAGGACCCCAGGGAGGGCAGACATGCGGTGGAACTGTGAGGAGAGGCTCTGAAGCTGGTTCCTCCATCCCCAGGGCAGCTTCCTAGGCCGGCACATCCTCACCCTGATCTGTGCTTCCACACTCCTGTACCGCATTGCCCTCTTCCCGCTCTGACCTCATCGTCTCCAGCTCAGAACTCTGCCCTGGGTTCCCACTCCCTCAGGACGAAGCCCAGCTTCCCCCACAAGGTCACATGGCCAGCACAGTCTGGCCCCTTGGCATGTTCCCGCCTCACCTGCCATGTTCTCCTTTCCCCCAAAGCCCCAGCTCTGTCTTGCCCCTGAGCCTCCTCATGTGTGCTATTCTTCCTTCCTGGAAAGCTCTCCCCAGCCCTGGGCTTGGCTGACTCTAACTTGCCTTGCAGTTCTTGACTGGATGATCACTTCCTTGGCAAGATCTTATATGACCCTTAACCAAGCTGTGACCCCAGAAATACGCTGGTCACCTGTCTACTCTGCTGTAACAGCCTGTGTGGTCTGACTTCTGCTCTGGACTGGAAACACCCAAGGGGTGATCCACCCTGTTGGTTACCAGGGTCCAGCACCATGTCCATCCATAGGAGGTGCCTGATAAATGGCAGCCATTGCTATCATCTAGGGTCTTGGGACACTTACCCTCGGCATTGTAAGTATATCTTTGCAATTCTTTTTTTTTTTAATGTTTTTATTTTTGAGACAGAGAGAGACAGAGCATGAGCAGGGGAGGGGCAGAGAGAAAGGGAGACGCAGAATCCAAAGCAGGCTCCAGGCTCTGAGCTGTCAGCACAGAGCCTGACGTGGGGCTCAAACCCACAGACTGTGAGATCGTGACCTGAGCCGAAGTCGGACACTCAACCGACTGAGCCACCCAGGCGCCCCTACCTTTGCAATTCTAAACCTGAGAGCCCTGGGAGCAATGGTGGGTACTATTAACCAAAGTACCCAGGTCAAGTGCAGGTGTGACACTTCATCAGCTGTGTGACTGTGGGCGGGATACTTCACCTCTCTGAGTCCTTCTCTATCACAGGGGGACAATGACACCACTGACCTTACCAGTTGCTGTCAGCCCCAAAGGAGATGGAAATATCATATATCTTCTAAAGCAAGGCTTGACAAACTTTTTCTATAAAGAGCTAGATAGTAGATATTGCCGGCTTTGCCAGCCATAACGTTTGTGTTGCAACTACTTGTTTCTGCTATTGTAGAGCAGAAGTGGCCAGACACAATATATAAGCAAAGGAGATCAGCTGTGCTCCAGTGAAACTTATTTGCAGACAAGCAGGGACCCATGGGTAGGAGTTTGAGGGCCTTTGATATAGAGCATTTTTAAATATTACCATTTACTATTGAACACTCTCCATGTAAGCCAGGCATTGAACTACAACTGGACTGCAGGCTGTAATTCTCATAGCAACTCCACAAGGTAGGTACCTTGATTATTCCTCTTGAGATCCCTATGTTATACTGGAGCAGTTTAAAGCCAAGAGACACCATGACTCCCCCAGGGTCACAGAGCTGGGATAACACAGAGCTGGGAGTAAAACCCACATCTCTCTGACTGCAAGAACACATGTTTGACATCTCACATACTTAGGATCTGACCCCCAAGCTGTCCTCACAGGAGGTCATTGGAGCCATTGCTCTGACTCCTTGCTGGGGTCAAGGTTCAGGGGTCAGAGTGTGTGGCTGGTGTGGCTGCCAGCTGGGCAGTGACCAGGAAGCTGTGGGAGGGAGGAAGAGGGCTCCACCAGGCAAGGTTTCAGAGATCCTACATGAACTCCCAGAGTTCACTCTTCCATCTACATTCCCTCCTTCCTCCAGGGGGACTTGCCCTCACCCCTGAATTCATGATAGACTCTCACAGAAATGATTGGCTACTACTCGAACAGAGTTCTGAAGAGACCCGAGTGGAATCCCACAAACCTCACTCACCGAGGTGCTTATTTAGGGAGTTGAGAGAAGAATGCCATTCAGTCAGCTGAGCTTTGCTGTAATTGGGGGGCAGAAGGTCACTGGGGAAGGAAGATATGACAAGTAAGCCACGCTTGGGTAAAATGTTCACTTACCAGAATTGGTAGCATCTTCAAGGAATGTAGCCCCAGAGTAGTATCTATATAAATACTGAAGAAACAAATGATGTGCTGGGGATTCCTGATGCCAAAAAATATCACTCATAAAAGGTCTTTTTTAATATCAACAAGTCTGTTATTTAGAAAACCAAATTGAATTTTCCTAATGGGAAAAAAACCAAACAATTCACATCACTTGACAAAGAAAGGAAGTCTACATCTAGGAATAGAATCCAAGATAACGATATGAAATGCATACAAAGTTTATGCATTAAGAGAGTTGCTTAACAGTACTGTTTATAAGCACTCAAAAAATCATAAATAAATTTCATATCCAACAATAGGGATCTAAGTAAAGTATGGTGAATTCTCTTCTGAAGTCATTAAAAATAGTGTTGCAGGGGGGCTCCTGGGTGGCTCAGTCAGTTGAGTGGCCAACTTCAGCTCAGGTCACGATCTCAGGGTTTATGAGTCTGAGCCCCACATCAGGCTCTGTGCTGTCAACCTGTCAGCCAGAGCAGAGGCTCCTTGGGATCCTCTGTCCCCCTCTCTCTGCGCCTCCCCCACTTGTGCTCTCCCCAAAATAAATAAACATATTTTAAAAAATACTGTGGTAGGGCACCTGGGAGGCTCACTCAGTTAAGCTCCCAACTCTTGATTTCTGCTCAGGTCATGATCTCAGGAAGGGTGAGATCTAGCCCTGCACTGGGGCTTTGCACTGACGGTGCAGAGCCTGTTTGAGATTCTCTCTCTCTTCCCCTCTGCCCTACCCCCCAAAACCCCATCTGCCCCTCCCCTCTGGCTTGCTTGCCTTCGCTCTCTCAAAGAAAAAAAAATAGTGTGGCAGACTGAAAGATGGACAATATCATTGGCTCCTCCCATCAGTCTATTTCTCCACCCCTGGGGCTGGGCTTGGCCCCGTGATTTGCTTTGGCCAATGAGACATTAGCAAACAAGTGGAGGCAGAGTTGGAAAGGCTTGGGTATTTGCCTTGCCCTCTCCTGTTACAGGCAGACTCTGCCACCACCACCAGGCCTCCCAGCTGGGATTAGCCTCCTGGAGACTGAGAGAGCAAGTGGAAAGAACCTCAGTTGCCCCAGCCTAGGCTCCAGATGCAGGAGTGAGGCCACTCTAGACCATCCAGGCCCAGCCAAGCCAGCGCAGACCAGGGGGAACATCCTGTGGGAAACAGCCCGCAGAATAGCGAGAAACAAGAAATTCTGGTTGTTTTAAGCCACTAAATTTTGGGTGGTGTTTAACGGTGTCGAAAGATGCGTATGGCTAGGAGGACTATATAATTTATTGCCAAACCAGGACATTTTTGACAATGGAGAGGGATTCTACTAATGATTATACTAGCACAAGACATGTAACCCAGGATGGTCTTAGGCACCCTACTTATTCATGGTGGGACAGTAAAGAGCAAAAGATAGCTACAAGAGTGTGCACGGCATCGTCTCAAAGCTAAACATTATACTGAATGCAGTATTATATGCTGGGTGGGGTTCTGGAATAGAAAAAGGACAATGGTAGAAAAACTGGTGTATTCTGAAAAAGTCTGGTGTTTAGTTAATGGGAATGCATCGAAGTTATCAATGGGAATTCTCCCAGGACTTTGGAAAACTCTCTCACAGGGGCCCTGGGAATCTTATCAAGACTCCCCAGCCCTGAGCCACCACTGCCCACAAGCCTGCAGAGGTTCCGTGCATAAGCAGAGAAGCAAGGATTCCTACAAGGTCTGGGGCCCTGGGGTTTCAGAAGTAAGGCCTGGAGCTATGGGTCAGGATGGGGTATGGAATCCCATATGAGGCAGTTCCCTGGGTTGGATTAGAAGTCTCCCTGGCTGCTTGACAGGTCAGGAAGGCATAGGTGGGTATCTACACAGCGTGCTTTGTGGGTGTTATCAAGACCTCCTCGCGCAAACAAACCACAAACCCAAACCTTCGCTCTAGACACTCGCTGGAATTCTATGATCAAGGCTTTGCAACTTTAAGTTGTACGTTCCAGCCTGTGTTTGTAGTATACACCACCAGACACAAATTGTGTCTTCACCCCTTTCTATACTCCCTTTGAAGGAGCTGCTGGGTCGCGTATCTGCACACCCTTGCCTCTGATTTCATAGAGTAGCCTCCAACTTCCTCAGGTCAGGTTGAGTCACACACCAGCTCCATGCTCTGCCTGCAGACGCTGCCATTTTATAGTGTTTCCCAGTGGTGTCCAGAAGCACCAGGGAATACATTTTTCTCTGTGTCTTTGGCCCTGTCTCTCCCTTCCATTCAGGCAGGTAGCCAGCCAGCGCCATGTTCACAGTCTGTCAGAGATATGGTGGTGCAGAAAAGACAGCAGCCTAGAAATCTTTCTGGACTTTGTTCTCAAAGACTAAGTTCTGGGGAGAGCCTAGAGCACTGATGATGGAAGCCTGAGCTGGAGTGGGCCGAGAGCCCTGCAGGGGGAGATGCACTGGCAGCTGAGAGCCGAGGACCAGGGTTCTCTCCTCACCCAACAGAAGGGGGCTGGAGGCAGGGGTGGACAGAGAGGATGGCAGGTGCCTGGCAGTGGCAGCCTGGGTCCTGCTTCCTGGTGGAAGACTGTGGGGGCAGCTGCCAAGACCCAGGTCCCCGGAGGGAAACACTGCCTGGGCATGAGGACATTCGGGCTCAGGGTAGCCTCCTCAAGAGTCTCGCATCCAGCTGTCTGGAAAGGGCAGCAGTTGCCCTCAGGCATGTGGGTGGATCAAATATAGAGGAACAGACTCTATCACCAGGCCTGCATTGGATGGGGTTTCATAGTTCCCCTCCATGGACAGGACCCCAAGAAAAACGGAGTTTTGCCCAGTTCAGGGACTCAGAGTCAGAAATAAATATAGAGTGGGGCACCTGGTGGCTCAGTAGGTTAAGCGTCCGACTCGGTTTAGGCTCAGGTCATGATCTCACGGTTCGTGAGTTCGAGCCCTGCATCGGTCTTTGCAATGATGGTGCTGAGCCTGCTTGGGATTCTTTCTCTCTCCCTCTCCCTCTGCCCCTCCCCTGCTCGTCCTCTCTGTCTCTCTCTTTCTTTTTTTTTTTTTTTAATTTTTTTTTTCAACGTTTATTTATTTTTGGGACAGAGAGAGACAGAGCATGAACGGGGGAGGGGCAGAGAGAGAGGGAGACACAGAATCGGAAACAGGCTCCAGGCTCGGAGCCATCAGCCCAGAGCCTGACGCGGGGCTCGAACTCACGGACCGTGAGATCGTGACCTGGCTGAAGTCGGACGCTTAACCGACTGCGCCACCCAGGCGCCCCTCTGTCTCTCTCTTTCTAATAAACAAATAAACTTAAAAAAATTTAAATTAATATAGAGTTACAGGAAACAAGAAAAGTGATTTACTTTATGTTGAGATTTTTATTCACCTTGTTAATTTTACACCTGCACGAAAATGTGTCTGCCCTGGAGGAGACTGTGTGAGGTTCTAATTGTCACTGATACTTAGGAGAACTTAGGTTCTGTGGTGGGGAGACAAGAGGGTAACCCAGGGTTACCAGGGTTAGGGGTAGGAGGGCCCAAGTTTCACAGGAAAAGGAGGAGCCTTTCCCGGCATGTGAAGTGTCTCCACTTGCAGAACCACACATGCTCCATCCCTTTACTGAGGGTGGATGCTATAGGACCCCCACATAGTGGGCTTCCAAGGTCTAGAACATTCACTGTGCCCCTCACCAAACAGCTTATTAAGGATCAGAACTGAGTGGGCCTCTACACATCCACAGCCTCTAACAGGTTCCCTGTCTGATGGCAACAGCCTCCTCACTGACCTCCAAGTTTCAGCATCAGACCCTCCAACTCACCCCCGAAACCGCAGGGCTGTTGGAGACACTCTGCTCCCCACCAGATCTTAGAAAAAAATCCAACCCCTTAACCTGGCCCCTCCTCCCCCACTAACACCCCACCCCCTTTGCCATTGCCTCCTTCCATGTTTCTCGGCACAGTCACACTAAACTTCTTTCCCCAGCAAATGTGTCATGTTCTTTGTCACCACTGGGGCTGGAATGCCCCAGAACAAAGGCCCAGCCAGCCAGTGCAGGACCAGAGAACAAGGAGATGGCCGGGCCTGGAGGATGCCCCAAGAGAAGGGTCAAGGCTGAGGACTGTGACTGCCTCCCCCATGGACCCCCGAAGGCACCCCTCCCCAGGGACCCCTCTCATTGTACCAGATGGTGCAGAGATGCTCCAGCCGCTTTTGCTGCAGGGCTTTCTGGTTCTTCAGCATGCTCTCTATCTCCTTCTTCACATCTGGAGGAGCCCGGATCCTCTCACTGGCCATGAACTCACTGGGTGTCCAGACACGTTGGCACCATGGGGAGGAGGAGCAGGGTGGGGGGTGGGAAAGAGGGGATGAGGCCCATGGTAAGAACATTCACAATCTAAGCACCCTTACACCACTTCGGCCCCTCCCTCCCCATTGTAGGCCTCTGGGGCAATGATGAGAGGGAGGATCGAAGAGCCAGGGGGCCACCAGCGAGACTCTGGAGTGAAGAGCATGGGACCACTGGGCACAGATCCGGGTGTGGGTCCCGACTGTGGCCAGCCAGCTCTGTGACCTTGGGCAAGTCAGTCCCTTCCTCTGAATCTGTTTCCTCTTCTGTAACGGAGCTAATGAGAATACCTTCCACAGTAGGACCCAGTCAGCAAAGCCCTTAGCACCATGCCTGACTCACGGGAACTGCCCAGTAAATGCCAGCTCCTGCCATCACTGTGGATGATTACTGACATTTGTAACTTCCAGGCCCAGACCCAGACCAGTCACTTTCCATAGAGCACCTTGCTGATCATCACTGAAACCCTATCACTGGCGCATCATCATGCCTGTCTGCATAAGGAGAGAAAGGCTCCGAAATGTTCAAGTGCTTGATCAAGGTCACAGGGAAAGTACAGGTGGAGCCAGGTCTCAGTACGCTTTTCTTTCACCCGGGGTGTCAGACTCCGGTGTTCTCCATCTGGAAATCCAGGTGTACAGATGGCCTCCCATCCCCAGACCCACAGCACAGACAGACAGACAGACATTCTTTGGCATCCTCAAACGTCTTGGCCTGACAAGCAAAAGAAAGCCTTGTTTGTTGGCCAAAAGCTGCAGGATCCTTGTGTCGGTATTAACAGAAGTGCCACCTGGCAGAGGAAGCAGGGAGATGAGCCCTCTCTTCACCCCTGCTCCCATGGGGACCAAAGCCTGAGGGACCGCCATTCGTCTTGGCCCAGTAACACAGGGTTCTGAGTAACAGTCGAATGGAAATTGGGCAGATAATCAGACGGGTGTTTTCAAACAATTTGTACTGTGATAATTCAGAAAATGCTTACGCGATAACATTTATGAAGAAAATAAGACAGAAAGTGACATATACAGTATGGGTCTAAAGAAGCCTGGGAAGAAATACACCAAAATATCAGCTGTGCTTCTCACTGTGGTGAGAAATTAGTAATGATTTTTAATTTCTTTTTTATACTTTTATCTACTTTAACTTTTAAAAAAGAAAAGAGCACATATTTTTACCCCCAGAAGAACGGGAGTGTTTTGGAGCGAGGACAGAAAGGAGGGTGAGGACCACCGGCTTGCTGGGCCGGCCTTCCAGGTGGGCTGGGGGGAGGCTGCGGGAAGTGTGGGCGGACACGGACCTGAAACTCTGCACCAGGGCCTGCTTCTTGAGAACCTTCCAGGTGTCCACCAGGCCCTGCCAGCGGCGATGGCCCTCGAGCTCCTGCTGCAGCGTGGCCTCCATCAGGTTGACAAACAGCTGGGCGATGGCCCTCCGGTTGCCCAGGAGGGCCTGGTTTATGACCTGTGGTACAGGTGGGCAGGCTCTACATGAGGTGGGGGCGCTCCAAGGTCAGAACAAGGTTCAGTTGGAGACGGACAGGGGGAGGCTGCAGAGGGGCCAGGTGAGGTGCCGGCAGAGGGCCTGGGGCCCAGTGGGCCTGAGTAGGGCAGTGGCAGCATCTGAGGGGCACTGAGGAGTCCCTGGGCACTCACGGAAGTTGCCTGGGGCTGAACAGCCGTGGACTATGACAGGGGTCTTTCCTGAAGACTCACCTATGAACCTTGACTTAAGCATGTGCCTTCAACCCAGCCCCAAGACCGTATCAGATTGTTAAAGAAGCTGATTTTAGCTCACTGGAGATACGTACTCCAGTGGGTTCTTAGTGTTTAGCTGTTTTCTTTCCTTTTCTTTAAATGAATTTGTTCCAAAAGCAGAGTGCTCATGCCATCAGGGACCAGTCAGTCATCTACGGTTGTGATGAAAACGAAGACCCAATTACCAAATGAGACCAGGGCTAGAACATTCTTCTGCAGTCCTCCCAGTGATCCTCACCGGGCATCCTTGGCATGGCAGTGGGGACAATTCTTCATGGTGTGGTACTGTTCTGCTTTTAGCAGCCTGCCCCCTTCAATGAGAGCAGTCTCTCCCATGCCCCCAGGGAGTGGAACAGCCAAATGTCTCCAGAATTCTCCAAAGCTCTCGGGGCACCGCCCTGGAGCAAGGGTGGGAACCTTCCAAGCTCAGGCGGTAGACATTCCAGTAACAATTTTCGCTGGAACCTGAGGTTTATTGCTGGCTCTACTTCCTAGCTGGTGGGGGGGGGAGAGGGGGACTGGCAGGTACTTCCTAAACCTCCAGTTCTTCAGCCATAAGGCGAAGATAATGCTACTGGCAGCACAGGGATTCTGCGAAATTAAATGAGATAAATGCACATAGAGTAAGTAGCAAGCGCCTGTTGTTGTAATGAGTAAAATAAGCATATGGACGCCAGACATTGAAACATCCCCGGGATACTGCTCTGACCCCACCTAAGGGATCAAATGGATAAATGTTAGGAACTCTTGCTTCTTTCAAATGACAGTGGCTACTGCTGAGACCTCTTTTGTCACCCCCTCCCCCCAACGGGTACTGGTTTAAGTATCGTTACCCCTGTTTTATGGGCAGGGAGTTCCAAGTGCAGGAGCGGAGTTAGTTTGGGAGCTTGTGTGTCTGGGCAGTGGAGAGGGAGGTCTGTGCTCACTCCCTGTCTGTGCTTCATCCAGGACTCCAAGATGTGGACCCGAACAGGAGCCCATCTGTGATTCTGAGTGCTGGGTTCCTTTCACCCCGTGTAGTGCCGGGAGGCCTCCGCGAGCCCGGCTTTCTGCACAGGCCCTAGAAGCCCATGCAAGCAAAATGTGCTTCTGAGTAGCCAAAGGAAGCAACAACATGGATGGGCCTAGAGGGTATAATGCGAAGTGAAATAAGTGAGACAAAGAAAGACAAATATCGTATGATTTCACTCATCTGTTGAATTTAAGAGACAAACAAAGAAAAAAATGAGACAAACAAAAAACCAGACTCTTAACTGCAGACAACTGATGGTTGCCAGAGGGGAGGGGGGTGGGGGGATGGGTGAAACAGGTGAAAGGGATTAAGGGTACACATGTCATGATGAGCACCGAGTAATGCACAGAATTGTTGAATCGCTGTACTGTGCACCTGAAACTAATATAACACTGCATGTTAATTATATTTGAAGAAAATACATACACACACAAACATCCGTACATAGTGTCTTTTCACATGGCAGAGGAGTCGGGCTTAACTCTGACTTTGGAAATATTATGAGCAACCTTGAATTTCTTGTTTTCTACACCCAAAGAAAGCAGCTGGGCGAGGGTGGGGTGTGGACAGGGAAGCAGTGGGGACAGAGACCGGAGACAGGCCTGGTTCGGCACTAGACGCTGATGGCCAACAAGAAGGCAGACAAGCACCACTAGGAAAACAAACGGAGCAGGCTGGGGTCACCTGTGAGGGCACAAACCACTCTGAGACCAGGACAGCTCCACCATCCAGCACCTATTGCATTGCACATGGTGGCTGAGACACGGCCCAGTAGGTGCTCGTAAAACCGTCAGTGCTGAAACCAGTGCTGCTGTGTTAGGTAATCGGGATTAAGACAGCAGGGATGTAGGACACGCACTTTAGAGAGACTTCTACTGAAAATACTTAACAAAAACTCTGGTTCTGAACCCAAGCGACCAACCCGAGTTAGTTGGAAATGTGACACATGAGAAGCCCATCGGTCCTGAGACACCAGGTTCTGGGGCATCCTCAGGTCCCGCCCCTTCTGTGGGCTGATCCCCTGCACGTGAAAACCACTCACCATGGCTTCCTTATTTATCAGCGTGTACACGTCGGGCTGCATGAGATAGGAAGTTTTCTCTATGATTTCCACATATTTCTTCAACACGCTTCTGAGCTAGAAACAACAAGGTGTCATTGTTAATGACTTTCTTTTCCTGGAGACCTGCAAGCAAAGAGCCGATGCCTCACAAACCCCACAGGTGAAAATCACCAAGAGCCCATTCGCAGGCCAACTCACTTTATCTGCCCGAGAGAACTCGGTCGAGGTCAGTGTCTCATCCAGCTCCTTAATCCCCTGCTTCTGGAACTGGAACTTCTCAGCCACCTGATCCCACAGCTCCATCAGGGTCTATACCAAGAAGCTGGGGTCAGGCTGGGAGGACAGATGGCAGGGAGGGAAGGAGTGGGACCCTGGTGGGGCAAACCCAGCCACAGGGAAGCCCTACTTGGATGGTGTAGTCTTCGAGGTTGATATCGCTTTCCACCTTTTTGAAGAGTTGGTCGATTTCCTCATCAGACGCTGCCAGCTTTTTTAAAAGAAGTGCTCCTGGCTCTAAGATGAGAGGTTCCATTTCCTACAACAGGCCAGTAGGGCAATGCCTGTGGTCTCAACACCACCAGGGCAGGGGGAGCCCGTCCCTTTCCCCAATTCTCTGCCCTGTGGTGGGAAAGTGCTAGCTGTGGTCCTGCCTCAAAACTAATAATCATTACCTAGACCTAAGGAGCTAGGATTTACTATTCACAGCCAGAGCACAAGGGCAGGCACCATTTATCTGGGCATGTGCCATGTGCTGGACACTCTGCTCTAGGCTAAGCCCTTGTCCTCAGACTCACTTGGTCCTCACCACAGCCTGTGAAGTAGGTACTGACATCAGGCGTGGCCCGTGGTTGGGGCTCAACAAACATCCATTAAAGAAGTGGCCAGTGAAAGGATTCCAAGTTTACTTCAGATAAGGAAACTGAGGCTCAGTTATGTTGTATGACCAAAGCCACAGAGTCATGGACAAAAGTAGGGCTCATATACAGTTGGGACAGATGAGTAAAGCAACGACTGGCTGGGGGAGCTTCTTGGTGCTTTGGGTACAGAGCCAGCTGCATGAATCCAAGGGAACGACAGAAGTCAGAGAAGACATGGGGAGAGAGTGGTGAGTGCAGTCCAGGGCTCAGAGAAGAAGGGCAAAGAAGGGCCTCATTTAGGGAATATTCTGGGGACCAGGGTGGTTAGAGATGGAATGTCTTTGGAGAGGAACAGAGAGCCAAGTGAGGGTGGTACCAAAAGGCCAGATAGCATGAGGGGTGGGAAGCCAGAGGGCCAGGCCCTTTGGGCCCTCATTAGTAGGACTGCGTAGGGAGATCATGGGCTGGGCTTTGGCATCAGCCCTGGAGTCCAGTTCCCAGCTGGCCCCTTATGTGCCAAATCAGGCAAGACTTTGCGAGCCTAAACTGTAAAGTGGGAGAAACAGTGGTAGCCGACTTACAGAGCTGTGCTCATAACGAGCACTCATCATGAGCCACTCAAGCTGGCTACTCTGATTTCATCCACACCACTGGTGAGCCACTCAGGGCCTCTGAGCTGGGCGGGAAGGGAGGGTGGGTGCAGTGACAAGCCTGCCTTGAGAATGGCCCCAGAACAGAAGGGGAGAGAGGGAGGAGTCTTACCATCCCAATCTGAGCAATCTCCTCCTTAAAACTCCCCAGAGCACTCTCGTAGCCCTGCCTCTTGGAGTCTCTGTCCAGGGTGGTTGTGCTGATCCTCTCTGGAACTGGGGGAGAACAACAGAGGTGAGGAGGCTGCCCTCAGAGCGCCAAAGCAAGGGGAGGGCTCCCAGGAAAAGGCAGCAAGGCAGAAAGTGCCTTGGTTCAGGAGATGGACCCCCAAACCAGGCCACAGTGTCAGAGGCTTAAGGAAAAAGAGAAAAAACAAAGGTGATCTGCAAGTGCTATAAGGAATGAAGTCTCACATACACAGTTAAATGCCAGAAAAAGTTTCCAAATGGTAGGTACAGAATGGGACCATTTATGTTTTTTTTTTTAAAGTTAATAGAAGCAAATACATATACAGATGAGAATAACCAACACTTATATAGCACTTATTATGCACCAGGCATCGTTCTAACTCAATTACCACTCCTGAAGAGGCCAAGAGGCAGGTTCTATTTTTTCAGCCCCATTTTACAAGTGAGGACACTCAGGCATGGGGGTTAAAGAACAAACACAGCAGTGGCTGAGCAGGGGTTTGGACATGAGCCATCTGCTCTAGAGTCTGCATTCCCGTCCGGTGCTCTGCGGTCCCCTGAATCTGGACACCATGTGATTTCATGGTGGGGAACATTCTTGGGAAGAGAAGCAGTGCTATCACGAAGGGAGAGTTTTTCCTTTCTGTTTATCTCCTTCCTTTGCTTTTCCACAGTGAGCCTGATTGGCTCAGTGGTAGACAGCACATGTGACTCCCAATCTCAGGGTTGTAAGTTCAAACCCCATGTTGGGTGCAGAGATTACTTACGGCGAGCATGTATCTTTTTTTTTTTTTTTTAATCGTAAAGGAAAAGAACCTTCCTCTATAGTATGAAGGAAGACAATGCAGATTGAAATGCTCTTGTGAAATTGCAATAAAGCAAGGAATATCCTTTACCAACTGACTTTCATCAGTAAATGCTGACTGCGCAGAGCCCCCTGCTCCCTCCCCAGCTCCCTGCACTGAGGAGAAGGTCCAGAGGAGCAGGCTCAAGGGAGGAGCCAAGGGGAGAAAGCCAGCCCTGCCCTCATAGCTGAACAGAGACTCACCTATGGTGTCCATGAGGCCCCGGACCTCTCTGGCTTCAATGATGCTCTCACTTTCTTCAGCTTTTTTCTTCTTGATTATTTCCTTTTCCCTGAGGCACAAGTAGAGGAAACAATAACTCCCAGCCCCCCTCCCCTACCCCAGGGCAGCTCTGGCACAGAAGGGAGTCTTCAGAGAGACCTCACATATTGGCGATAAGGCCCACCCCATTCCAGAGAGCCCCGAGGCTATGCCAGACTCCCAACAGACGCTGCCTGGGTAGCTGCCTGGGTATCTGCCGCCAGTAGGCACCATGGTCCCTAGACAAGAAATCAGGGTCTGCTTCTGTTCTGGCTGCAAACCAAGTGTGGGTAGTAGGCAAGAGCCATTTCCACATGGGGAAACTGAGGACAGTAGGGCATGATCAGCCTGGGAAAGCCAGGCCAGTGCTGAGTATTCAGGATTTGCTCCTTCAGCAACTCATCATCCTATGAGGCAGTCACAATAACCCCCTTGACAGGGATGAGGGGAGGGCGCTTAGAGAAGTGATTATACAAAGCAGAGCTGAGACTCCCTGACCCACGTGTGTCATGCCAAGGTCCATGGTCCTTGGGGTTTAGGTGTGGGAGGAGAAAGCTGAGACCCCAGAACAAGCTATCTCAGCAGGGAGGACCAGGGTGAGTGAGAATGACCTTAGCTTTGGAATAAAAATCTCTGAACGCACTGTCCAAAGGACAAGCACCACAGAAATGCAACAGGTCTCAATGACACCTGCCATTCCTCCAGGCCTCCACATGTGCAGGGCTTTCTAGTCATTTCTCATCCAATCCTCGCTGCACACCTACCAGCAAGGAAGACTGCAGGGCCTAGACTGACCCTCCAGAGGTGGGTCTTTCAGTCTTGTCAATCAGGTGCCCGTGGACTAAGGTGGTTCTTTGGGAACCTGGGTGCTCTGACTACGGAGCTAATGGCTCTGGCTCCTCAGGCACTTGACCCGAGGACTTGGGTCTACACTAGTGCTGATCTATCCCTACCTTGGGCTCCTCTTCTGCTCACCCGGAGGCCCTGCCCTGGGTGAATGAACACACAGGTTCACTGGCTTTGGCTGGCTGAACTTTCAAGAAGGGAACAAGGGACTTCAGAGAGACGCCAATGCTGAGTTAGTGACCCCAGTCATTTTGAGGGTGGCAGAGCCTGGCAGGTTACAAACACATCTTTCTCCCTGTCACAGGCCACAGGAAGTTGTCGTCTAGATCTACGTCCAGGGCAGAGCTGACTTTGTCTCGGGAAGCCAGCACAGCACAATGCCAGCACCCTCTATGGAAAGTGCCTTTCCCAAAATGCTGTCCTGTGGATGCTAAGAGCTCCTGATGGATGCTATATCTAGTCATTGGGATAATGGGTGACCTTAGGCTAAACTCTGGGGAAGGGGGGACCCTTAGGAGCGATAGGTAACTCGCAAGTCAGCTGAGAGGGGACTTAGACCCTTGTAGGAGCCAAAGTCACAGCCAGGGGCAGCATCAACAGGCCCCAGACGTCTGTGCTTCAATCCCCACACTGGGCATCAGGCACATGGGCTAGAGAACACGGACCTCCAGTCTGGGCTTGGTGGCCAGTGGGTTTGCCCATCTGTAGGTAGTCAAGGGTGCTGAGGGTCAGAAGCCTCAGGGGAGACTTCTCTGGGAAGAGTCAAAGGTCAGGTCATCTCTGCCCCAAAGCAGGTGAAAGAGAAAACAAAGACAGGTAGAGAGAGACCGACTTCCCCTGCCGAGTCCCAGAGGGGACTGCGGCTTGCTCAGAGCTTGAAGAGCAAAGGGAAGATCGGCTCCAGGCGCCCCAAGCTCCCCGGTGAGGAAGATATTGCCCTCCTTTTCCTTTCCTTTCCTTTCCTTTCGTCCTGCTTGAGGAGTCTGAGCTCAGGGAGTTGAAATGGCATACCCAGGAATCTCAAATTTCAGTCCTGATCTCCCTGCTCCTAGACCATATGCGCCCATCTCAGGGAATGGCGCCTGCTCTGTCCACCCAAGCACTCGTGCTACAGACCTCGGGCTCTCGGCCTCTCCTCCCTCCAATCCACCACCTAGTCTGAGGGGTTCTGCCTCTAAAATACACCGGAAATATCCTACTCTCCCTCTTGTAGCCCCACCAGGCTTAGAGGGACAGCAGCAGCCTCCTCCCTGGCCTCCCGGCCTCTTCTTGCCACTCCCTACATTCTGCACACAACAGCCAAAAGGCCTTAAAAAGGCAAATCAGCTGCTCACTTCAGTAGTCCAAAATCCCGACTGTGGTCTTGCAGGCCTATCCCAGCTTCATCTACCGCCCCTCCCCCCCAGGCCCACTAACTTCTTCACCTTCCAGAGCGGACCAAACCCTCCCTGCCTCCGCGCCTTGCCCCATGCAGCTATTCCCTCGTCCTCTGGTCTCCGCTGAGGCCCCTCCTCAGGGGCTTTCCTGACCCCTGTGCTACCACTGTCCTCTGGGTCAGAGCCTTCCCACCTTTAGGGGCACTTGCCTATTTATTTATTATCAAGGCCTCAAGTGCCCGGAGAGTGGGATCCCCAGACCCAGTACCTGGTCCTAGGCACTCAATCAATAATTACTGAGAGGGGAGGAAGAGGAAGAGAGGGAGAAGCAAACAGTGGAGCAAAGTAGGTGCTATTACCTCTCTCTCTCAGAGGAGATACTGGGACTTCATTCCTAAATGGCACTCATCTTGTGTGAGGGCTTTCTGAGTCTCTGAAGACTCTGGCACACCCCCCCGGGGGGGGAAGTACAGTGTGGACCACAGGACCCACCTGTAGAGAACAGGATTTTCCGTGACCCAGTCATTGGGTAGGCTGTGCGCCCACTTCCGCTGCCGAGGACACATCATCTCCCCTTCAGGAATATCCATCTTCTTCATCAAGGGTCTCCTGCCATTCTTTGGGGTCATGGAACTCTCCACAGCGCGCTTCCTGGTGGCTGCCAGAGAGCGGACCAGCTGCACCTGAATGCACAAAAGATCCGGTGGGGGGTCGGGACTGCAGACTCCTCAGCACCCAGGGCTCACTCTGCAGTCTTAGAAGGACATGTGAGAACTTGCCAGCAGGAAGGCACTTTACAGGGAGGCCTTCAACCCTAGGGTACATTCCATGCAAGTACCCCCCAGAAGACATTCAGCCATCTAGAAGGGTATCTGTTAAGAAATTTAGTGAGGACCAAGATGCTTATCCTAGCATCTTTTATAATCACAAGGAATGAGAAAAACGGGGCTGTCCGATAGCAGGGGACTGGTCGAGTAAACTTATGTCCCTCCAGTGTAATGCTAGGCATTTATTAAGAATGAGACTTACAAAGGACTATTTATAACATAGGGAAATGCTTATGATATGATATACCATAAAACATATTAATTAAAAGCGCAACTTAAAAAAATTATAACCCAAACTGTACAGTATGATCTCAAAATTTTAAACTCATAGAAAAATGACCAGGAGAAAGTGTGCCAAATGTTAAGAATGGTGTGCTGCCTCCAGGCAGCAGGATCATGTGAGTAATTTGTTTCTTTGGCCTCCTTATACTTTTATAATTTCCAAGCCTCCTACATAGAGCGTTATTTAGGGCTCAAAGTAGGAATGAAAATTCCTTTTAAATAAGCAGTACAGAACGTCAAAGGGAAGGTTCGAGTTTGTGTATTTAAGATACTGTTCTTGTCTGTGCAGTTTTTTATAGACAAGTTTTTTATAGGCAAGGCAATTCCAGCAACCTATTTGGCTGTCAAGAGAGTGTTACTTTAATACACTATGGGAAGTCCTGGATTAACAACTGGGCAGCCTCTAAACATCTTGAAGTTGCATTAATGCCCCTTGACATGCAAAAGGTCTGTGCAATACCGTTAACAGGGAAGAAGCAGGTTTCAAAACACTGTTATAGAATCAAACCCAGGTTTTAAAAAGAAAAATTAGAAACACTTTGGTGCATAGGAAAAGGTCCCAAGACACCCACTGGTTAATTTTGGCGATTTCTGAATAATTTAACTTTTAATTTAACTAAAACTTTAATGTACATTTTTTAATTTTCAAGAATAGACATTCTAATATTGTATTCCTACACTTTAAGAACCAATAAGAATTATTTTTTAAATCAAAACAATTTCAAAGCCCTTATTTCATTGGGTTCCCGAACAAAGAAGCCTTCAGAGGGAGGGAGGTTTGGGGTGCAGAGGGAAGAGGGCACAGAGGGACACAAGGGACACACCTACCTCAGCCTCGAAGATCTGCTGGTAGACCTTCCCGCTGGGAACCTGGGTCACCTTCCCCACTGAGGACATCTTGGCCTCTGGCTGAACGGGGCGCCCCTGTTAGGAATTCAATGTCCGGGAATCATGTCTGAGGTTTGGAAACCGAAGCCCCAACCTCCAGGACAAGTCCTCCGCCTAGGACCTGCGCCCCCCCCAGCCCCCCCGCGGGCCCCACCCCCTCCCGCAGGCAACCAGGCTGGGGCAGGACCCACCCCACTGCTCTGAGAAAAAGCAAGCCCCGCCCCCCTCCCTCAAGCCTCAGGGGTTTCATTTTAAGCAAAAAGTAAGGAGTGGCAAAGAAGCAAAAAGGAGACAAACCTCCGGCAAGAACCGAACTCCCGGAGAAGGCTGGCTCTTCCAGCCACGCAGTGTGCAAATCCAGAGGACTTTGGTGGGGCAGAATAATAAATCGTTATTGTTTTGTGCTTCACTCTCCCAAGCTCTCCTGGGAAAAGTGCTCAAGGTGTCATCTTGGATTTCAACCTGGCCTTGACCCCCCAAACTGGAGCTTAACAAAGTTGAAGGATCCCTGACTCCCTCCTTCCCCCACTCCCCGCCAAAAGTGGACAAAGAGAGGCGGAAGTGGAGGGAAGGAGCAGCCTGACTCTGGCCGTGCTAATTAGGCACCTATTGTATGCTGAGAAGACCCAGCAGGCTCCTCTCACGCCACCAGCCCGCCAGCCTACCGAGGAGCGCGGTGCAGTCCCCGGCCATCCCCTTTAAACCCGGCCAATGGAGGGAGGCTGGCGCCCCACCTGCAGAAGGAACCACTAGCCAGGGCCAGTCCAGCCTCAACTGCAGCTGGACGCACTCGGTCTCCAAGGCAACGCAGAGGGGCGGGAGCCCCGCTGGCCCCGCCCTCACGTCCTTTCCGAGGAGGGAGTGGATGATGGCCCGCAGCCGCCGGAGCGCCCCACCGGGAGTGGGGAAACTGTTAGGAAGTATTCCCTCCAAGCCCTTTTCTCCTCACAGCAAGGGGGCGCCCCGGCGCTGTCAGGAGCGTCCAGAGCAGTACACTGAATGTTCTGAAAACTGTAGGAGACCTGAGATGTAATTCCTAGCCACGGCAGTCAAGAAAATCCACCCTGTCTTCTTTACTTGATTAAAACCAACCTCTGCTGGCAAGCAGCACAGTGCTTGGCTGTAAGATGCAGAAAGCCTCTCTAAATAAGGCCAGCTCTTTCTCAGATTACGAGATTGAAGGGCTCAGAATTCAGGCATCAGGCTTGTATGGCATTACAATGAAAAGACTAATTTCTAGGACTCTTGAGTTCCATTCATCCTCCCACCACTGCCACATAACCCTGCTAAAATACGGCTCTGACCTACCCTCTCTCCTGCTCAAAAGTCCCTCATCAACTCTGCAGCCCCTGCAAAATCCAACTCAGTCTTAGATGACCACAGAGCACCCCCCCCCCCCAAAATCTGGTTCCCACCCTGACTCTCCCTGCTTAAGCAAACTCTCCACTCCTCCTGCATATGCGTCTGCCCCCCTGCCCTTCCTCATCCTGCTCTTCTGCTGGGATCCTTCTCTTTCCGAAATCCCAGACCCAGACAGCCTTCCACTATCAGTAACAATTATCCCAACCACTCATTTGTCTCAGCCCCTATAACCTCTCCTCTCTCTGGATGTTGATTGCAGTCAAATACAGGAGTTCAGGACCTCTAGAGTAGGCGTTTCCTGAAGGGCAGGTACGCCTTATTAATTTTGACTTAGCGGCAGTTGCTCTTAGCACAGTGTCTTGCACATGATTCAGACACAATGAATGCTCCCTGGGTAAACGCATGAATACCTAGAATGTCCTCATCTGACACTCCTAGAGTTTGTCTCTTTCCCACACATCCAGCCATAGTCCTATGTGGCCAGACCTGAAAATACTTGTGGTTGACAGTGAACCTGGCTTGAGGGTTTCCTATGTTTTGTGAGGTTCTCACCTCCCCCAGAAAAATCCCTCTCCTCGGCAGGGATCTCTGTTCCAATTGCTAGTAAATGCTCCCTATGACAACTTCCTAGAACAAGTGATCATTCCATCCAGACTAGCTTCAGAAGTTAATTAACAGTGAATAGAGAACACTTTTATTCCCCTTCTTTGGTCATGGATTTTATTACCAAAGTGAAATATTGTAAAAAAGATTGGACTAATTTTAACTGGAAAAAGAGAAAGTGTAGGTAACCAAGGGAAGAGGTAAAAAAAAAAAAAATGTGCAGGAATTATTTGCAGTCATTCATACCACTGTTTATGCTATGCTGGCTTGAACCTTATACACCAGAAACAGTGCTTTCCCCATCCAGATGTTTTCTGGTTCTAGTGTCTAGCACATCTATAATCAGGGGTTCTTTTTTTTCTAGATAGTTGGATACAAATATGTAGGTATGGATATATCATGTGTCATGTTTTGTTCCGAGTAAGCAACACACTTATTGTATAAAGTAGGAAAAAAATTCCATGGAGAACATAAAAATAACCCATGGTCTTACCACTGAGAATTTGCCTCCCTTAGCTCCTGAGTCTGGGCCTTTGTGTTTGAGTTTGGATCAAACAGGGGAATTTGTGTTTGGCTTTTGGATGGCATTTGCATTGCCCTCCCAACTCTGCAATGTGATAACCAGCTAGAGATCATCTGGTTAGTCCCTCTCACGTTAGAGGTGGGCTGGAGGTGAGAGACAGGGAATGGTCTTTAGTGGAGTCCTTAGTGGAGCCAAGCCTTTAGACTCTTTTTCTGCACCTCATCATCATATCTTCCCCCTCAGTCTTCATCTAGAAAATGTCTCTTGACTAGAGTCTCATCCTTTTCCTTCCTCTTCCACTGGTCACTGTCTATCTTCTCCACAGTCCATAGAACGGAGACCAGTAAGGACCGACAAGAGCTAATATTTATTGAGAGGATTTAATCCCCTCATAACTATGCTCAGGGTAGCATAATAAGCCTATTTTCCACATGAAGGAACTGAAGCTCAGAGTTAGTAACTTGGCCAAGATCTCCAAGATAGGCAGGGGTTAGATCCAGGATATGAATCGAGTTCATGCAATTCCAAAATCTTGAACCAAACACTATGCCATCTGGCCTTGCTACCAAATGGGAAAAAAATTCTGGATCAAACTGATTGGATCTGTGTGTTGAAGCATAGCATACATACCAAAGAGTATGGAAATCATAAGCGTATACAGCTTAATAAATTACCCAAAGGGAACACACTTGGTAACCAGTACCCCCAAGAAATAGAACATTACCAACTCTCCAGGAGCCTCCCTCATGTACTCACCCCAAGTCACTGCCCTCTTTCCCCCAAGGATAACACATATTTTAACTTCTGAATTAGTTTTGCTTGTTTTTGAACTTTATCTAAATGGAATCATACAGAATATACTCCTTTATGTCAGACTTCTTTCATCATGTTTGTAAAGTTCCAAACATTTTTTAATGTGGCTGTGAGTTCATTTTGATCTCTGTATAGCATCCCATTATTTTAAAATGCCCCATTTTATTTATCCTTTCTCTTATAGATGCACATTCGGGTTGTTTCCAGTTACAAAATTACCAAATAATGCTGCTCTGACCATTCTTTTGTATGGTGAACATATGCAGGCATTTCTACTGGGTATTTACCTAAGAGTGGAAATTTGGGGTCATATAGAGTATGCATAAGTCCGTCTTTTTTTATTAAGTTTATTTATTTTGAGAGAGAAAGAGAGAGAAAGCACAAGTGGGGGAGAGGCAGAGAGAGATGAGACAGTGAGAATCCCAAGCAGGTTCTGCACCAGCCCAATGCAGAGCCCAATGCAGCACAGAGCCCAATGCAGGGCTTGAGCCCACGAACTGTGAGATCATGACCTGAGCCGAAGGCAGGCACTTAACCAACTGAGCCACCCAGGCGTCCTTGTGTAAGTCCATCTTTAGCAGGTACTACAAAAGAGTTTTTGAAAGTGGTTGTATGCGTTTACACCATGGCAACATATGAGAGTTCCAGTTGTTCACGTCCTCATCAACATTTGGCGTTGTTAGCCTACCTGGGGGGCTCAGTCAGTCAAGCGTCCGACTTCAGCTCAGGTCATGTTCTCATGGTTCATGGGTTTGAGCCCCACATGGGGCTCTGTGCTGACAGCTCGGAGCCTGGAGCCTGCTTCGGATTCTGTGTCTCCCTCTCTCTCTACCCCTCCCCCCCACCCTCAGAAATAAATACACATTAAAGAAAACATTGGCATTGTTAACATTTTTTATTGTAGCCATTTTGGTGTATGTGTAGTGGTGTTTCATTGTGGTTTTAATTTGCATTTTCCTGATGAGTAATGAGGTTGTGTAATCTTTTATATACTTTTTGGCCATTTGGTTATCTTTCTGTGAAATATCTGGTCAAATCTTTTGCCCATTTTTTTTTCTGTGGATTGTCTCTCTTATTAATTGATGTGAGTTAGTTACATATCTTATCTGATGCTTTTTTCCAGATAAACATATGACAAGTGTTTATTCCCATTCTGTTCTTGCCTTCTTACTCTCTTTTGACAAAGAGAAGTTCTTAATATTAATAAGGTCCAATTTATTAATTTTTGCCTTTATACTTAGTGTACTTTATGTCCTAAGAAACCTGTGCTTGCCCCAAGGTCATGAAAATATTCCCCTATATTATCTACTACAAATGTTGCTGTTTTAAACTTACACATTTAGCGGTGCCTGGTTGGCTCAGTCAGTTAAGCATCAGACTTTGGCTCAGGTCATGATCTTGTGGTTCATGAGTTCGGGCCCCCCATCTGGCTCTCTGCTGACAGCTCAGAGCCTGGAGCCTGTTTTGGATTCTGTGTCACCCTCGCTCCCTGCCTCTCCCCCACTTGCGCTCTCTCTCTCAAAAATAAATAAAACATTTAAATTAAAAAAAAAATAAACTTACACATTTAGATTTAAAACCCACCTGGAATTGATTTTGTTTATGATGGAAGGTAAGAATCAAGATTCATTGTGTTCCCATATGGGTAACCAGTGACCCTGGGCCATTTACTGAGAAGACTATCTTCCGCCCATTGTTCTGCGTGCCTCTTTTGTTATATACAAAGTGTTCATATATATGGGTCTCAGTTGGACTCTGTCTGTTGCTCCTTCTGTCTGTCTTGCACTATTATAGCTCACTGCCCTGATTACTGTTGCTTTATCCTAAGGCTTACCATCTGGTAGCGTAAGCCCTCCAAGTTTGTTCTTCTTTACGATTGTCTTGACTATTCTTGGCCACTTTTATTTCTATGGAAATTTTGAAATCATGTAGTTAATGTCCACCAGATATCTGCTGACATACTTTATTGTGATTGTATGAATCCATAGGTCAGTTTGGGGAGTAGTGACATCTTAACAATACATAGAAAAACAAGCAAACAAACACACCAGGCCAACAACACCACCAAACCAACCAAAAAAAAAAAAAAAAAAAAAAATCCTAACAAAAGAAGAGAGAAATGATAAACTGGGAATAACTATCTGCAATTCGTATTACAAAGGGGCTCACATCCCTAATACCTAAAGAGTTCCTAGAAATTGATAAGAGAAATAACAGACACACAGTGGAAAATGTGGCAAAAGACATGAAGCCACAGTTTATAGAAAAAGAAACATAAATAGCCTTCACTGTATGAAAATGAGCTCAGGCTCAGTCATAATGTGACAAAATTGTGAAAAATTTGACAAATACATTCTAAAGCTGAAGGGGAAAAAATAGAAAAGGAATTCTTGCCTCTCCAGGCTCTTCAGGCCCACCAGGTCCAACACCCTGTGGACCGACCTGACTATACTGGGAGCACCCACAGGGCT